CTTTAAGTATTTCTTACTTTTTAAAACTTATATCGTTAATACTTTATTATTCCTCTTTAGGTTATTATCTAAGTCTTATAAGTATAAAGGCTATATTTATATCTTCTTTATTATATTATTTATAAACTACCTATTATTATTATCGATTTTTATTTTATATATCTTCTTAGAATCGTTTACTATTCTTCTTAATCTAGTTTTAAGAGACTCTTTTAAGATAAAGGTATTTTAGTTCTATAAATTTAACTTATTTCTATATTTTAGGATCCCTTTATTATATTATTATAAGGGTTTTCTTTAATAGCTTTAAGAACTATTTAGTACTATTCTTATTACTTAGGTATACTATATATTCGTTATTATAGTATATAGTCTAACTAAGGAGTTTATACTTTAGTTCCTATCTATTAATAGCGTTTAGGTATTTCTTACCTTTTAAGGCTAGTACTTAGTAAGTTTTCTTCTCCTTATAAGGTTATTTATATTCTTTAAAGTAATATCTAAGTTTCCTATAATTAAAATACTTTCTTTTACCTTTTTATATTATACTTAAATCTATTAGTCTAGGATTTATTATATATACCTAGGCTATTTATATTTCGCGCTTTTTCTTATAGTTAGCGTATTAGCTAAAGTTATTTTTATAGGAAGGGTCTTAGTTTCCTCTTTCTTATTTCTTTTCTTAGTATCGCGTATACTATCTATTATTAATTTATACTACTATAGTAATATAGTCTAAGAGGTTATTAGGTTAATTTTCCTTATAGAGCTCGTCCTTAACTTCTTTTTTAAGCCTATTATAGAATCGTAATATAAAGGGTTCGTTATCTTAATTAAGCTTTAAGGTAACTTAACGGAACTTTATAGTATAATCTAATACTAAAATCCTTTATTAAAGTTCTTAAAGTTTTTATTTAGCTTCTTATTCCTTATTAGTTATTCTAAATACCTTTATAATAGCTTCTTTAAATCCTTAGAAACTAATAAAGACTTTATCTATCTTATTATCTTATTATACTAGTTAGTTATTAAGAAAATCCCTTATAATAGGTTTAAACTAAGCGAGTACTATTCTAAATAAATAATTTCTTATATAGAGTACCTTTTTAACTAAGTCTAAGAGTTTAGTAGGGTAAAACTAATAGTAGGCCTTAAGTTAGGTAAGAAAGTCTTAAAGTATACTATAAGTACTATTAAATAGTCCTAGCTATTTTAGTTTAACTACTTCTCTAAGGTTCTTAACTTATCTATTACCTCCTCTATTCCTAAGTAACTATACCTTATATTAAAGGGTAATAATCTCGCGTATTATATCCTAAAGCGATATAGTAGCTTTAGAGTTAGTTAATCTAGCTTACTATATAGGTATATTAATAGTTATAATATTACTTAAAGTAGCGCGGTATTATATTAAATAAAAGCTTTTAATATATAATAACTAGTATTATTCTTAAGGGATAAACCTATTAAAGGGTTTATATTAATAGATATAATAAGGCGTAGTTTAAGTAATAATAAGTAAATTATACTAGTAATAAGTTAGAGGTTATAGACTATAGACTATAACTAAGTAATTAAGTAATTATAATTAAAGATAAGATCGTAATAAAGATTATAATAATTATAATATTAAAAGCTATTAAGCTATTTATTTAAAGGAGTATTTTATTCCTTCCTTATATACCTCGAGAGCTTTCTTAGATCGCCGAGAGCACTAGGTAATCCTATAGCCTAAGAGCGCTAGAGCGCTAGAGCGATCCTATAATCCTAGCTATAAAGTATTAGAGCGCTAAAGTAACCCGTCGCTCTAAACTTAATTAGCCTATCGGTCCGTCTTATATTCCTTACTCCCTATATTACGTACCCTCGTAACCTATACTAGTCCCCGCGGTTCGCTAGACCGTAGTTATAATATATACTAGATCTAAGTAAACGGCTAGGTTAAAGTACCGGCCTTATACTAAGGGACTAGTATATAATACCTAATCTACCTTTATAAGGCGGGCTATATAGCCCTTATAAGTAAAGGGTATTATAATAAGGATAAGTAGCTCTTAAAGTACTAAGGAGATTAAGTTCTATAGCTAGGTAAGCTTAGCGCTATCCTTTTAAGCGGTATTACCTACTACCTAAGTTAAGGCCTCTTTAAATTTTAGTAAGAACTCTTTAAAGGACTACCCCTTTTATAAAGTAAAGGTCTATAGCCTATCTTATACCTTCTTTTACTCTTATATATTATTAAAGGTATAGACTAAGTAGTTAAAAAATACTTAAGGGTCTTTTATCTTTTTAGGCCTGCCCTACTCTTAGAAGCCCGCTACTCGCTATATCTAGGGCTCCGGTAGTATATAAAGGAGCGAGAACTAAGCTATCTCCTTATAGCCGTTAAGGCCTTATTTCTTATTAATATAGTATTTCGCTATTAAGCGGTTAAAGAAGAAGTAAAAGGTCTTAAGCTTACTATCCTAAGTAAGCTATAGTAGCGGCTTCCGTCTATTAAGGGCCGCCTCGCGCTCTAACGTCCTAGTAGTAGGGGGCGTAGCTATTAAAGCTAGCGTTAAGAGGGTATTAAGGATCTAGCGTAAGGTTACTTATTAGTCTAAGTCTAATAATATCTAGTAAAATAGCTTTATAAATCGCGCTTATTTAACTTATTACTACTAAGCCTCTTTTTATAGGTATTACTAATATAGCTCTTTTACTTATTACTATAGCTATTAGTACTAAGCTTCTTCCTATAATAGCTACTACTACTACTACCTTAGCTAGTACTACTAAGGTTTTAATATTAAGTCTAATATATTAATAGCTTATATTATTATAGGGTAGGTAGAGGGATATACTATAAGTGCCTTTTATTATATTATAATAATAAGCTATATAAGATCTAACTATATACTACGCTTACTACTATTAAATATATATTTATATATATAGCTTACCTTACCCTATAACGCTATCTACTAAGGTCTAAGCTAATACCTAGACCTATACTAAGGGGAAATACCCTTATATATATTAAGCTTATATTTTATTATATTTATAAGGGTTCCTAAGGAAGGGGGCTTATAAGAGTCTAGGCTTTACCTAGATAGTTAATACCTATATAGTTAATAAGTATAGTTAATTAATAAGCTAGGTAGCTTAGTTAATTCGTTACCTTTTATCGCGTACGTATATACGCTATATATAGTAAAGAAGGGGTAGTTACGTAACTATAGCCTATACCCTCCTAGGTCTACTCTATAATAAGGCTCTATATAATTATATTACTTAGTAGTTATATATTTAATAATAAAAGGGGTCTAAAAGAGACTATAGCTATACTTATAATTTAGGTTCCTTAAAGCTATAGCTATATAATTAGTTACTATATTAAAATATAAGATAGGTTAGAAATAAAAGTTACTATTTTTTTCTATTATTACTTATATATAGCCTTTAAGGCTATAGTAAGGCTAATAATAGCCTAGCGCCTTATTAGTAGTTATAGCTAGCTTTAAAGCTTAGGGGCTTATAACTAATTAAGGAAAGGTAGCTATAATAGTAAAGATAAAAAAAAGGTTTATTTAGTTCCTCTTACGCGGTATTTCCCCCCCCTAAGGGCCTTAGGGCCCCTAGGTTACTCCTTTTTAAGCTACTTAGCTATTTATATCTCTATTTTAGCTAAGAAGGTAAGAAGGGCTTCCCTTCCTTCCTTAGAGCTATAGAGAAAAGGTAGGCTAAGGGCCTCCTTCCGTCCCTTAAAGGACTAATAAAGGACCCCTCTTTCCCTCCTATAGTTTAGGCACCTTAAGATAAGGTGCCTAGCTATATACCTTCCTTAGCTATAGCGGTAGTCGTCTCGGTCTACCTTATTAGTCCTTTTTAGGATAGAAAATAAGAAGCCGCCCCTAAAGAAGAGCTAGTAAAAGGCCGAAAGGGTCGGCCTAGGCCTCCCTATAAGGTCCTTTTCCGGGCTAAAGGCTAGGCGGGGGGTCTTTCGAATAGATATATAGTATTTACCTAGGCCCTTAGCCCTAAGGCCTTTATCTACCTCGGTAGCCTAGAGGCTTATAGAAGTCGCTATTAAAGAAGTATAACTAAAAGGAGGCTTAAAGTTAGAATAACAGTTTTATTCTTAGAATTAAGTGCTATCGTTTACTTAACTGCCCTTAAACCTACGCCTGGTTATTATATCGAGTCCTAAGATTAAATTGTTAAATATGGGTGGTGGTTAGTCCCTCTGTTGCAATTACTTGTTTCTTATCTTTCTTTCTTTTTTGTTTCCTGGCTGACACTCGGCTTCTCGGCTCTCCGATTTGCGTCGTGTGTCCAAGTTCTGAGCACTGCACGGGTCAAACCAGAACCTAGGCCGGCGCCCTCTTTGGTTTTGGTGAAATAATAAGGCCCAATGATGTAGACAGCGCATATCCGCGTCTTTCCAGCCCGTCCTCTCGCACTAATCGTCCTCGGCCAGCGTGCTGCATCTCAGCCGCAGTTGCGTTGTTGACCCAGCGGGGTCCCTCGATGTTTGTCCAGCTCTATCTAACTTGCCAACTTCCTACAACCATAATTGCTTGGTGGTACGCACAATGACATGGTCAACGGCAGTAAAAGTTTTCGTTTACCAACAATCGTGCGCAGTTTCCTGCATTACGAAGCCATCCAAGCTGCATATGCATGTGGCGTGACGTGGCAACGCAGAGATTGCGTCTTTTCTGCCATAGAAATATGACATGGTCAACCGCAGTAAAAGTTTTCGTTTACCAACAATCGTGCGCAGTTTCCTGCATTACGAAGCCATCCAAGCTGCATATGCATGTGGCGTGACGTGGCAACGCAGAGATTGCGTCTTTTCTGCCATAGAAATATATAATCCGTAGTCTGTGCTTAGTTACAAATATATCCGTACGTCCGCCGCGTTTCACCTGTCACACGCTGGTCAATTTTTCCTACATAAACCGCCTGTAGGAAGAATCCATTGGACCAATCTCCGCAATTTTTGCCGTCATTCAAATATGTCGGAACAAACGTACGTAAACGTGACCGGCAACAAGGCAGAGATCTCCTTCGGAGAAAAATGGACAGGCCTGAATCTCAGGATCAAAACAAATTCCAAGGTCGTCCAACGTGTCGAGGTCAAGGCCGGGGAGGAGTCATTCGAGGCCACTGGCTCCGGCGAAGGCAACAACATGATCCTCCAGCGCAAATTTGATTCCCTTCAAAAAGCCGTCGCCACTTTCACGTATGAGTCTGACGGCTCATTCAAGCCCTCTAAACTGAGATCAGGAGGCCCTTACGATATCGGCACGTACCGCCTGCTGGTGGTTGTTGCCGAGAACGGAGACGATGCGGATTTCAACGACATCGTTTTCGAGTTCTCGGGCCATGGGCAGAAGTAGGAGTAATCCCCATCTCAGCCTGTCATGATGATGTCCTGCCAGGAGAAGGGTATTGGGGCGTGCGAGGGTTCATCTAGTAATTTTAGCATCCTGGTTATCCGAGACAGTTGCGGTTCGGGGGCCTGGGCCCTGGGTTGCGAACAAATGAATAGTTTCCAAATATATTCAAATCGAGTTAAGATTTAGCCAAATCAAATCAAATCAAATCAAGTGAGTTATACCTAAAGAGGTAGAATACAAAGCTTTACTAAGAGCCTTGTTTCTTACTGCCCCTTTCCTCCCTCATACAGGGGAAATTGCTGTCTTACCTCTCTATGTGACTTTATGCGTATTCTGTTATATGGCCGATAAACGCCCTATGCTTAGTGTTCTAACATTAACCTGGTTGAGAGTCGGGGGCGACTGTCTCCGGCAAGCTTCACTTTTACACACTCACACAAGAAATGCAGGTTAGCTGCGTAGAGGCTGGAGACGCAGAAAAAATATGACCTCGCCAGTGAATGAGGGTGGCCAGGCCCTTTAGCTAAGAATTTATATAATGACAGTCTGGACAGATTGAGAGGGAAGGGAAAGAGGACATAAACAAGGGGCCTTGCCAAAGAAAAGAAGGGAGATTAGAGCAGATGATAACGAGCAAACAACAGCTAAAGCCCACTTCACGTCTTCTATGCCCTATTTGCATGCCCTGTTCGCGAGACTTCAGCCACCTCACCCCCCTTTCCCCCCAACTCTTCCAGAGAAGCATTACAGCACTCTTTAATTGATCTCGCCGTCGAACGCCAAATCGTCCTTCACGGTCGTCTCCAGAGATTGTCACATTGCAGATATCGCATTATCGCGTGCAGTGAGACCAGAAGTTTTGGCCAGTAGCAACTATAAGAGCTCGCTAGGACAAGTTTAATGGGAGCACCGAGGAGTTTAAGCAGCGATGGCAGCCAGCCTTTTATATACCTAAACGTCTCCCCCCCGCTGCGGCCCGTACAGGATGAGTTACGGACCCTTCGAGCTTATCCGCTTCGTCCTGTTGCTTTATTACCCGCATTAGGATTTTGGACTCAGCCCTAAACACTAGTAACGGGTAGTGAAGAGAAATACCAATGCGAAACCTGGTCGCCGGCCGGCTCTCGGCCGACTAGATTTCACCTACCGACACAAGTGCGTTAAGCCATTAGTTATCACCGAGGCTAAGCAGCGGCAGTGAAGGTGTGTATCTATCAGCTTTACTTTATAATCGAATGCATCGAGACACCGCGAGCAGCTCCCTCCTCACCCAGTTTCTCAATGGCATCGTCTTTCCTATACTACTTAGACCATGTCACAACGACTAAGATGTTCCTCGGTGTTCTCCAACGTACTGAATCCTTTCCTGTATAATTATTGTTACAAAGCATCGTAGGCAATGCACTCCCGGAGCCTAAACTGTTTGCGCTGAGGGGAAAATTAGAAGGGAAAATGCCAACCTAACGGTATGGACTGACACGTAACTTAAGAGTGATATTCATAAGCCCATTCTCTATCCAAGACCACATGGAAGAAGTAGGATACCGAGCCACCGTTGGTGGCAGGCATCTTTCCACGGTGCTCATCAATTGTTAAACGGAGAAACCGCGTTAAATGAGTCGTGAGTGTTTGGTTCTTCGGAGAGCAGACACCACACCGGACATGGTTCCCCTAATCTACACGTAACACCCGCCCCCAGCCCCGTGGTTTGACCAAGATTGGTGCTGCTAATACTGGAAAAAAAAGACATAAGAAGCAAGATGAAAACGGCATAAGCCGAGAGACGGATAGCATTGTAGGAAAGAATCCGAAAGCATACGCGCCACGCCAAGTCTGCACTCCCTCCAGATACATCAGAAAGCCTAGGCCGCCAAAAAAAATCCTCACGCAACGACCATCTTGTCCAAGATCTTCAAAATGCTCTCTGAACGGCCCTGCCCGGCGTCCATCTCTAGCGCCATAGTGCGGGCTTTGTCTATATGAGTGTTGATGACGGCGCAGGTATAGGCGAAGCTACCGGTGCCCTCCATGTAAGAGATGGCGTAACGCTTCACTTCTACATCAGACGTCCGTTGCTTAATAATATTGACGAGTTGTAGACTTGTAGGGTCGGAACGAATACTGTGAATCACTGGGAAAGAAAACTTGCCCTCGGTTAAATCCTCGCACATGCCCTTATTATCCGTATACTCGGACGAGAGGTTGAGGAGGTCATCGCGGATTTGGAAAATCAGACCAACTAGATTGACAAGAGGCACGCAGTCGACAGCAGCAGTCGATTCGGACTGCATTAGCTTGATTCCGAGGCGGAAGAGGCCACCCGTTTTGTTGCCAACCATCTCGAGGTAGTCCTCCTCGGTAGGGCACGTGAGAGTATCGCGCCAAAAGAGCTCCATGCCTTGGCCACGATAAAGATTTAGAATCTCTTCGGCGTATATTGAGACGCATTCGGGGCTTTTCAGCCTCTGGAGCTCCTGTAGGGCAACGTGGCACATATAATTGGCCGAGTTGATAGTCTGGGGGACGCCGAAAATGCTATGCGCCACGGGATATCCGCGACGCAGCGCCGAAGAGTCCTGGACATCATCCAAGAGAAGTGAAGATTCATGCAGCATGCCGATGACCTTTGTGATGATCTGGAGGCTGGCCGGCGGGACCTGGAGCCAGGCATCGAAGGCCGCGATAAGTTGACGCCGGAAGTCTTTACCCGGGTGACTAGCGACATAGTCAAAGGGCGCCCTGACCACATTCTCTTTATCTTGTGTCCATTTGGGTGTGTAGTTGAGGTCGTCGTGCGCGTACGTGTCAACACTTAGCGGCTGCCGGGTCGGGTCCTCCTGCTGGAGTTTGTAGGGCTGCTGGAGCTGAGATGGCAGTTGCTGCGGCAGTTGCTGCACGAGGGCCATTGTGGCGGCGATGGCCATGATTTCCTACTCCTTGCGGTTGAAATAAGTCGACCCTGGAGATAGGATGGACGAAGTAGGAGGGCAATGTAAATGGTTGAGAGAAGCAGCTTAAACTTTGTTTTCGCCCTGACCTTGTTGGCTCGAAATCGCGAATGCAAATGCCGAAGCCGGGTGTTTGTAAGGATATAGGTTCAGGACAGGCCTAAAGGTCGATATAGGCAACAGCGAAGACGTTGTAATCGATATGGGGATCAGTCTCGCTAATGCTGCATAGGCGTGACGGGGACAAGCTAGAGCAGCAAATACAAGATCTCCATGCCGGTTAGCGATGAGAAAACAAGCCCAGTGCACCTTCAGGTGTCGATGGGAGGCTGAGAGTAGGACGTGTCCGGTAGTGAGCAGGTTGAACGAGCCTGCTTCTGGAGACCCATTAGATTAGGCGAGAGATATGGGGGGGCAGGAGGAGGCTCGGAGACAAGAGCAGTGTCAGATGTCAGCCCGCAAAGGGTGAACCAAGATCTTCCCCGACATGTGATGTCGACAAGATGGTTAGCTGTCGTGACGTCTGCGACATGCAGGTATACGACTGTGGAAGCGGGAACCGACCCGCCTGGCGCTTTCATGTGCCTTCGTGTAAGCCGGCTTCCCACGCCGGCCTCGCCACAAGTGGAGAGTCAGCTTTTTGTGGAGGACGCTGTAACTCTACGGTCGTCATGCATGTCCTAGACCCCAGCCCGTGTGTACAGCAAATGGTCTCTGCATTCTGTAACCGAGAAATCTCTCCTAATTTTGGGTCCGGATGCTCATGCAGGAGAGAAGTCACTGTTCCGTTGAGTGTTTGGCGTGCATGGTGGCGGCAGACACAATCACGCCGGAGGCCGGGCGGCCTCGCTTGCACCGTGTGCAGCAGATGCTACCTGGGCATTCTCGGAGACTGCATCGGGTAATGGCTGCTTGTAGAACCTTCTAATGATGATATCGACTCCTGCATGTGAACTCAAGACCGTGGCTTGCACGATTGACGTTGGTGGAAGCTTCCTTCAAGATGGCAGACGAAGTACACATTGTGCCTCATCCTGAAGTGTTCAAAGCACGGAGACTATCGAGTCCCCGCAAGGCAAATTTGGGAACGGTGCCAGCGGCTACATGTGGACAGTGGCCGAGATTTGGGAAATTGACAGCTTTTGCGGCGAGTTGAGGGCTCCCAGAACAACCAATGCATCAAGGAACAACACGGGGAGCTACCGCGCAGAGGATCCAAACTCTGATTACTTATGCCGTATACAGTAATGATTGAATGGTTCCCCCGGTCCAAATGAAATTTGTAAAAACCAGTTCATCCCCCTTGACGAGGGGGTGAATTTGAAAAGACAAACGTAGCATCTACAGTCGAACTACATCTCATCTCCTCCAACTGCACACCTAGTCCCTTGAAGCGGCATGCTGCTCACTAACATGCCCGAGCTCGCCTTAAGCCCCTGAGCTCTTTCATGACTCTATCAATCTAGCTAACGGCTATGATGCACCATGGCTTCTTTCTTGTCCCGCTTTGATAGGAGTTTCCGTGATACATCATACGCCCTGTAGTTGGTGAGCGCGGACTGACGTGCAGCATGTCCAAATATTCCATGAACGAACTATTGCTCTGCATTGTTCATTGAGCTTTACTGCACAACATGCGCTTCCCTCTCCCGCATGGTGAATCGTAGGACGCGGAAACTTGCCACTTTGTCTCCAGTCTATGCGGCTCAAGAATTCATCAGGTCGCCCCGCTACAGCCTTACAGGTAGATCGAAGGATCGTTCCATAAGGAACCTCATTATTCTTTTATATGGTCCATAATAGCATCGTGGTTTTCTTGACCTTGGTTAGTTACAGCCAAAGTAAGAGAGCAATATCAATGAAGTTCTCGGCGCCGAGAGCTACGCCCACCAGAATGATTCCGTTCGCGCATCATACCCTCTATCCGTTTCTTAACGTTTCCGAATGTAGCCGAACGAAGCAGTTAGCCTTTTCTTGTGCCAGCTTCTACTATCGCAGCCTCTTGCGCTGCCCCCTTGAAGAGCTACGTCTCTATTACGCCTTTCGTGCGGTCCGTCTTCTTGGCACCTTCGACCGTGTTTTACGTTTTTTTTCAATGTGTATCTCGTTCAGCATGTTCACCTGCGCGTTGCCTTTATCCAGAGGTCTCATTCTCGGGCAATGAGGGTGCCTGTTATGGACTGTGTTGTGTTCCCAATATCAGGCTAACAAGCATGAACCCATTGGCCAACGGCATTCACCACCGTCCTAGATTAGACTCTAGCCACATTTGCGGCCCTGGTAAGGTTGCCTCGAGTGTGATCTTCGTCCTATTGGATATTGTAATGCTATTTAGGTCATCGCTATTCGGCGGGAATTTGGCCGAGCTCTGCGTAAACGGGTTGACTTTTATCTAAGACAGGAAGGTCATACGTACTGATCGAAGAGCATTAGGACTAGGGGTTGGGACTAGCGATAATTGTCGTACGAGAACGCATTCATATATGTTTGGTTACCAATCAAGATGAGAATGTCCAAATCGACTCGACTTCAATAGAGTCCAGCTTTCAGCAAGGCTCGCACGCAAAACTCAGTGTCTGGATTTAGCACTATCAGCCAGAATCGTATGAGGCATAAATAGACGCTCTGCTTCGTCTCTCGGATCTATTGTCTGCCCAGCCTATGGCAAGAAGCATCGAGATAACGTCATCATTAATACATAGCTTGTCTCACAAATTGGCTTTGAGATGCGTTTCTGCCAGCTTTAACCCTTACGGCTACGGCGATGACCATCGCAGCTATCTATAAAGACAACATGCCAAGAGCACAGCCGCTCGAGGAAGATTCCAAGACTCACTTCTCCACGATTTTTAGCTACACAATGTAGGTGATAGAAACGGAGAAAAACAATCTAGCCATAGAAACAGCAGGCCACAGTGGCTGTCAGAGATTCAGCCATCGCTGCGGCGCTAATCACACGTACCCGCGTGAGAGGGTCCTTGAATCACCGACCCTTGATGGCATATTTCTCCGATGATCTGGTCGTCGGGAATTTGCACCCCCACGCGGGATTCTAGAAGACTATGCCCAAATAAATACGCCGAAAAAGAGTTCCAGACTCATAATACGACGCCATTAGAAGACTGGGAATCCTTAATGAATGAACCGTAGTGGTTTCGGAGAAAGAAAAATGACGATGGAGCTCATCAGTAAGCTAAACAAAGCAGTCCCTGTTTAAGTCAAGCTCTAAAATGAAGTGGTGCTGATTGTCAGGGCCAACACGACTGGTCTCGACGTCAAGAGGAATCTGTTGTTCAGAGACATCGAGGCCTTTCGATAGCTGATATCGATTAACGCCCAAATGCACTACCCGTCCCCGTATGTTCCATATGTGGCTCAGCCTCGAGTGAGGAGACTGACCAAAGGAAAAGGCAGACAGATTTGCATTGGAGTTTAAAAAGGGTTGAATGATTCGATATGGAAATTGGGAAAATCCTCCAAAGCTGGCCGCCGCTCCCTTAACCTGACCGCACTGAATGCCACCGATGATCCCCTGTTAATTACCTTCTGGACATTTCTGATCTGTTCCTTGCAAGTCGCCAGTTTTCAGGTACCCTCTGCCACAAGTACTTAAAGCGGCTTGTTTTTTTGTGATGGCCCTTTGAATTGGTTGAATTGCGCTAGAACATCCTCGATCCTAAAAGTAGTCTTTCGTCAGCCTATTTTTTTCTCCATCAGGCCTTCGAATTGAACTGCTCTTAGTCTTGGCGTTCATTATGCTGCACTGTGCCACTGATGGGTTATTTAGCACCGCCCAGAGCATACACGTTCGGGGGTGGACAAATACTGGAACTCGCTCAGGGTTACCAATTGGAACTACACACCGTCTGGGCATAGTTGAGCAAGGGGAAGGAGGCTGGTATACTCCAAGCCACTCTATTAGAGTCCGTGACGACTCAGCTATTGGTGTCCCGCTCTTGATGTAAGCCAATCAGCACTCACTTCAAGGAAGCTATTATCCAATCTATTGATAACCAAGAAATTGAGGCTGTATATGCATCCATCTTCCGTAGCTTGAAAGACCCGTTTTGCCTTGAAGGTGTGCCGTAGAAATAGTCGACTCAAGTTACTGTCCAGAGAGATGCCCCTGCAACAGAACACAGAGTCAGGTAGCAGCACCGTCTATTGCAACTAAATGATGCATGATGTACGGAATCGTCGCAGGGAGACCTGGATACGCAAGCAGGGTGCAGCAGCGGCATGTCGACGAGTGCAACCAAAAGCAGAGCCAACGTCAAATCCATCACTGCGACTTCAAGGGCTTCCTTGCCAGACTTTCGGCCCTAGACACGAAATACAAGCAAACCCCGTAAGTCGCATCAATCAGCAGAAACGCTGCAAGGCTCCAGAGGACCAGCGGACTTCCTAGCCACCCAAATGCCTCGGGCCAGAATTTCCACCGGAGCGAGGCAAAGCCCACGGTACAGCTGGAACCGAGAAATCGGCTTAGCCTGCATAGATCATATGTTAGGCTTCCATTATGTATCTTGACGACCTGTCACATACCATAGAGTCCATGACGTGCCCCTTGTGCTGTTTCTCTGCAGCAACTGGCAGAGCCCGCCGAGGCTCAACACGATTTGACATATGACAGCGCCCCAGGAATAGGCCAAGGCGGGTCCAATCTCAGCCGCCAAAGCGAGATGACCAGCAAAGCACATGAGAGTTCCTGCCAGAAAGATAAGGGGTGTGTGACGGGCAACCAAAGGCGAATGGCTCCACTCCGTCTTCGCCGCGCGGGTCGCGGCGACCATGATGATGACGTTGAGAGTGACACCGGCCGCGAAGACCGCCACCTCTACCCGGTTTGACGACGGGTAGACGAGTGTGTACACGAGCTCCCATCCAATATTATTGCAGAGCGGGATGATGGCCATGCTGTAGGTCTCGCCCTTGTATGAGTGCCAGATCATGCCCGCATAATTGATAAGCCAGCCGACGCCCATGAAAAAGACCAGAGTGTCGGCCAGCCATTGAATCTCCTCGTAAGCCTGAGGCGGCTGCAGATCAGTAAAGCCATCCATCGTGGTATCGCGGTGCCGCTTTGCCGTCTAATGGCAGCTGGCCCAGTAGGAAGCGAGAAAGAATATTGCCTTGCTTTTATAAGCACTCAGGGGCAAGCGGCTTGCGAGTGTGCGTATAGTGGGCGTGCGAGTAGGCTGCAAACAAGATGGACTTAATTTGCATACTTAGTCCGGTCTGAACACAAAAGGACCACGAATCGGCCACAGTGAGTAAAAGCATAAAACTGAAGGTGTCACGGGAGACCACAGTACACATGCGTATCGGTGTGTGCCGTCCATTGAGCTGCTAAGGAAAGACATATCAAGGCTTGATCTTGTTGCTGTTATACAGTCTCCTCAGAATACACTTCCATTATAATGATTTGAAACCAAGATATCTGTATCTGGGACCTGAACATGTGAAAGAGCATCCCGTCAAGGAAAAGAGTCCGAATCCAACCTGCATTTCTCTACGTCAATATATTGCTCGGTGAATAATGCGCGAGAACCCGGGGAGCCAATACGGGGCAATAACGAAATACACGATGCACGTGGATGTACTGTACGCATTTAAACCGGAACGTTTCCTTGCATAGCGTTGCGTTGCATATAAGCAGGCCCTCAGTAATTACTGTATGTGTGTCATGTCCGAACCATCCCATTGAAGGCCCAAAGGCTGCAATGGTGCATCTGTCAGGCATCGCAGCAACTTAGAACCGCACGCTTAGCAGTACAGTATATTGATTGCCGCCAAATCCACACCGTGGCAGACGTTTCCCGATCCTCGCCACTTACATGGCACACAACCGCTCTGGTAAGACAAATATTAAAGTATCTCCCCAAGTATATCGATATATATAGGGGGCATTTGGGAGCGAGTACTTACTTGCAGCCTTCGGACCTTCAATGGGATAGCCGATGCTATCGGACCTTTGGTCCTTTAAGGGGAGTCGGCTACTCCATAGAGCGAATTTGGCACAACACGTGCTTTCGACCGGGCGTACAACATATGCTATGAAGCCCATGGCTTTTTTAAAATTGGTCTAGATAGATATCGATGAATCACTGCTCGGGTAGCCGTTTGGGGTCATGTAAAAGGGCGGCTACAAGTGTAAATCCCCGGGGCAAACCTTCGGTAAAAAAGAAGCACGGCTACTAGAGGCGGCGGCGCCTCGAATTGCGATGCGACGCTGGTTCCGATCAGACGCACTTAATGCGTCAAAGATGTAACATGCAGTACATAGAATGCAGAGAGAGTGGGTCGAATCGCATCATTCATGTCATTCATGCACAGCGGTGCGGTCAGGCAAATGTCCGACCGGTCGAGGTTCTCAATATTCCATGGATCTCTCCGGAGCCTCATGTATGCGGACACTTTAGGCGCGCACACATGATGCACAAACGGAGGAAATGCCGCACTGGTTGAGCGCACCCGTTGATTAGAGAGATTGCTTTACACCTCAGGGAACTTGGGAAGATGCCCCCCCTAAACATGCAGGCAAGACGACATGTGGGAGCATTGCATACGTGGACGAAGTACCTCGTAGAGCGTAAGGTAGCATGTAGGTCGAAGAGACGGAAAGAGAGTGGCTCTCGAATTCACAGCCTGAGCTCTGGGGCGCCCATCCAGAGCGTGCTTGAGCATCACTGCGACATATTCAATCGGCAGCACCTCAGGCACTTCCAGTAAACCCTTGCCCCTGTCTTTCTGCTAGATGGCTGGGACCTGGAGCAAGGTACAATATGTTTCAACTCATCTAGGAAGACGCCTGACGATTTGGACACCGATGGCTTTGAAGCATGAAGCTATGGCTTCCCAAAGGAAAATGTGCCGGATGGACAAAGTAGAATACTGTGAACCCTTGCACAATATGTCCCCAGCCCTCTTGTTACGAGAGGCCTTTCGCTCTGTCTTGAGCACGAATAGGGGTTGAGGATCGAATGAAAACTACAAGCCCCACGTCATTGAATTTCTCCAGGTCATCAATTAAGCATAACAAATAGCAACCTTGGGGGGATCAAGCATTGGTTGAAGGCCTGGGGAGCCGGAGCCGGGTGACATTTGATGACTTCGAAATACAAAGCCATGCAAAACAACATAATTCCTCCACGTTCCCCGGGGTTCTCTCTCTGCAGTTCCGCCTCCGTCCAAAAAACAACCGCAGCTGCGAAAAAAAACCAAGATATCAACCCAAGGAGCCTGTCTGCATCTGTTCACGCCGTCCCCAGAGTCCGACAAACTTGTCTAATCCACGACCTGCTTCTTTGAGTGCTTTCAAACAAGCTTCCCTCACCCGCTCCGTCTGCAAGGCGTCCAAGGCTGCCTCGATGTCCTTTTCGGTGTGGCTTTCAAGTGCCCTCTGCATGATTGGTCCGCAGTCTTCTTCGTTGAGTGCCACGACAATGGGAAATGATAACTCTCCATTCCGCACGTCCTCTGCCACGGCACCTTTACTGGTCACATACTCGGTCGAATAGATGTTCTTGCAATCGTTCTGGAGCTGTGCGTACCATCTAAAACCACGAGTTAGTGCGTTCCGTCCAAGCATGGGAATTTGTGCGCCGATTTCGCTGGGAGCCCGCGTGGCAATGGGAGGTCTGATCAAAGAAGGACATACCCGAATCGCGTCATCAGATCATCCAGCTCCTCCCCGCCATCATTCAATAACCTCCCCAAGAGTATGAATAGAGTGCCCGTTTTCAGCAGGGCCATGTTCTTGTAAGCCCTAATCCGTTCATCGCCTTGGTATTGAAAGGACTCCAACCCATCCCGGCGCCAGACGAGAGACATGTCTTGGCCCTGGAGGATGTTCTCCAAGGCTTTCATGAGCTCGACCCCGAGAACTGGACGCTCACGTAGAGCGCGATTGATGACTGTCGTCAGCACCAGATAAGCCCTGTTTGCCGTTTCGCTGGCCCCATAGATCAGATGGGCCGTGGGTTGATTCTTGCGCTGACGGCTGTTGTCGGAAATGTCGTCGACCAAAATCAAAGCGAAATGAACCGCGTCCATGATGTCAAGAATCAGCGTGTACTTGACCGGGTCTTCCTTTTCCAGTGCAGGCCGAAACTCCCTGACAAAGGGCTCGAAATGATGTTTTCCATAAAGCTTGACGAGGTATTCGTAAGGACATTCAGTGTCCTCTGGCTTGCTTCGCTTGGCGGGCAGCTCTTTGCAGTATCCAAACTGCTCGACAGGCTGGGTCGAAGCAGGCTTCAGCTTGGCCGAGCCTTTGGCCAGGAAGCCTATGGAGAAGGCGACGAACAGCGTGGCAACATCGCTGATACCGATGCGGTCCTTGATGACGTCCATCATCTTCAAGAAAGGAGGCGGCATGCTGTCAAAGGGCCGAGGGGAACGTCAGAGTGAGGATGTCGAGATCTGGGTGCGAAGGAGTCGAGGTACGATCAGCCAGACGTCGCTGGGTTCCAGCGCTGACCAGTTATGCAATTTTATCAATACCAGCCTCTTCGGCATAGGCAGCAACGAAATCGGCTCTATTCTTACACCCAACAAAGGTCCTTCTCCTAGCCACTGCATGAAAGCCCTTGAGCCGATTGTTGCGGCCACAGCAATAACGTCTCCACATGGAAGCATTGATAAGCATTATTCGACGCTGGCCTCCCAGTGGCTGCAGCTCTGTTCGCCCAGACGGATGTTGGTTACAGCAGCCGCACCGCTACTGGTAAGATATCCGGCTCCGGCACGAATGCGGCAACGCATGTCGCTTATATACGCGGGTAATATGTGGCCAGTGGCGTATTTGAGAGTCGCTGTCATGCATTCATCCACATGTATGCGACAGGTGCCGGGCATTGATGATGATGCCCAGAGTCTGCCGACCGGTACGGGAAAGGTACTGGATCAGGAGCAGCAGACCAACAACTGTCACGGACCGAGGTGTAGGGATAGCTTAAGCCTTGACTAACAGACACACGGGATTGCCTAAACAGCGACACAAAAGTGGATAGCTCATGGGCTCAACATCATAGGTTAACGGTGACGGAAGCAGCCGGAGGCGCCGACGCCAGCAGTCAACGGTTAGACATCTATTTTCGGCGTATTCGATGAAGTTATATCAGCTGACTCCTTCTTTCGGGGAGATCAGTACAATCCATACAGTCACTTTTCAATGCAAGCCCCACATGGCTCAACAACCCTTGTTTTGTGCTACGGACCAAGGCGTAGGGATAATTTGTAGACTCAACGCCATGGGGTATGCCTACAGGTGGGAGGATAACGGTGCCGAAAGCGGTCAAAGGCTTCAAAACCGGCAGTCCATATATGGTTCTGGATATTTATCTATTACAGCCTCCTTTGCGAGGAATCTAGATAGTCTGGGCACATGCATACATCTAGTCACATCGGCTGACCTTCTCTTTTAGAGAGGTCAGCCCATTCCACACGGTTACTTTCTAGTGTAAGGTCCACATAACTAGCAACAGTCTTGCTACGTTAAATTCCCAAAACGAGCATACCCCACAATAGGGCTTCTTGGTAGTAGTTGTATACAGTCTAGGATCATAAAGGCACTGCTGCTATAAACCCTATAGGCATAATTTTTGTTGGCTATATCAGACCTACCGACTCCTTTCCAGTAAATTAGTAGCCGAAATACCGCCTTCTTGATTGAGAGGAGAGATCCTATATCATAGAGAAAATGGATATTTTCCCCAATACTAAGATATAACCCTATTTCTCTAGCTTTCAACTGAATTATTGTCCAGGTGCCTCTTTCCAACGACAAAATTGCTATTCTTAAAGACTCAGATGCCTGCCAACGGTCATAACAGCCTATTTGAAGCAGGCGGCGGCGTTGGTGCCTTAAAAAACAGCCGAGGGGAGATATACCATGACTGGAACTTAAGCCTAGAAAGCGACCACAGTCGTAGCCCGACGAGGGCATCGCCAATGCCAATTCGCTAGAGAAGTCATCGCTAGAGCTCTCTTCAAGAGCTACAGCAGCCAATGCAGGACAACCAGCAGGCAAAAGAGTCGGAATTTAAGCCCCACCCAATTATACTGATTGAAACCACTCTTATATCGCTATGGCACTAGGCTTTACAATAGGCCAAGTTGTAAGGGGCATTTACACTCTACTTGTACTATAAAGAAGCAAGCATCAAGACAGCTCTCTTGTAGACTGATATTTCTATAAGGTAAAGGAGTTTGTAGCTACCAATTATGATATTTATTGGAAGGATTTCCGAATCTTGACACCTGGCTTTAAGGGCACTACATTTATATCTATTATGCAAGCAATAAAGTAACTGAGCTACTAATAGCACCAGAAGAAGAGACAACTAAAGGCTAGCATAGCTATCTGGCAGAAGAGGGTCACAATGGTATAGCCCTACTCCAAGAGAGACTAAACCGAGAAGATTAGGCCAACGGCCTAATCCTCTTTTCGACGAGATATAGGTATTAAATTCAGCAATAGGCCTTAAATGGGCTATAATCTGTAAGACAGAAGACCCTGATTCCTTGGGAACTGTTACGTTACACTTCCAAAAGGAGTATGCTCCGTAATAGAGCTTCTTGGTGGTAGTTATATACTGTGACTATTCTGCCATCCCACCGGCCTTGGTGTTGTGGTGACAGCAGGGGGGGGGGGTGGGGAGGTCTGCCGGTCTGGGCCTCGGCCCTTCCACTATTGGAGTGTCGGGTATCGTCGAGAATCAAGGCCACACATGATCCCTGCGAAAGCTTGGGTTGGGGGTGTTGGCTAAGTGACGACCTTTTGTCACTTTACGACGGGCTGGCCTGTTCGTGCCAGGGCAGATATCCTGATCACAGCCGCCAACTTCCATTATAGGTCGCGTTGCCTTTAAAAGCCTTGATGCTTTTCAGCTTGACTTAGACCAGTGGTCAGAAATCCACTAAACTCCACTAGAATTAATGATGTAAGTAGGCGTGAGGGCGTAGTTGACGGGCTGCGGTCTTCAATGGCCGGAAAAGCATCCAGTGTCACCAGCCTTTCAAGTCAATAATACACCGCAGCAGGCCAACTTGGTATCTTGAGTCCACTAGTCTATACGCATTTACTGTGCCTTGGTGTTTTCCCTCGGGCCCTTTTCATCCCCCAAGATGTAGTCCAGAAGGAGTAAAACAGCCGCACCGCCAGCTGCGGGACCAGCGATCAAGCTGACAAGAAACATCCATATCAGCAGCTCCGGAGTCACATGCCGACCTCGGGATTCAAGCCCGCACCAGAGGAGCCCCGCTGCCAGGAAGAATCCGCTCGATGTCCCTGTCATCTCGTTGATGTGTCTCAGCCGAGCCTGCCTGACAATGGTGCTCGGGAGTTCGGAATAGGCAGGCGCAGGCACATCAAGTAGGCTGTTCATGATATGCAGTGGCCCGATAGCTTGAGTGGCAAACAGGGATGGTGCCCAGGTCGCGACAAGGGCCACCGAGAAGGCGCCAATGTGCGTGACCGTCGAGAAGAGCAGTAGAGACCCAAGGATTGCCCTCTGATGGGTTCTGGAGGCGCCTCGAGGTCGCAAAAGTCGGCGCCTGTGAAGAATCCACAAGGAAACGACCGGCATAGCCGTTGAAAACCCGCAGAGGGATGATAGCCCACCAAGCATTGCAACAATTCTTCCATGTCACATGTCAATTTCATGCACGGTCGCGTCATTGGCAATCCCACGTACCTCAGGGAGCTCCACGGTCTTGTTTCTAGTGGTGATTCAACCATGATGATGATGATGATGAACGGAATGAGTTGGCCGACGTAGAGAAATAGGTGAAGCGAGAACCACGGCCAATAATCTCTCAGCGCTTCTATAGGTATGCCTACCAGAACCTCGAGCCAGAGAGCTGGCCATTGGCGGCCAGTTTCCTCGCTTGTCGACTTGAAAAGACGTAAAGCGTTTGTTACGTCCAAAGGGGGGAAGCCTTCCTGCCATTTCCAGGCTATGCCGGCAAGGGCAAGAAACGCCTGGAGAAGGCTCATGAGCTTGATTGAGGACATGACCAAGCTTCGAAAAATAAAATGATTGGAGGAGTATGCTTGGGTTGAAGGAATTGAGCGGCAGAATTCAGTGCAATACTATGACCAACATGAAGCTGCCACGATTTCAGATCTCTCCCGCGGCCCAAGACTTTCCACAAGTTCACTAATCAGGAGGCCCTTGGTTATTTGCGGGTTCACGTTCAATAGCCAGGCAGTCTTCCAGGATTTCGATTCTGGCATCCCAGTTGACATTCCTAGCTGACATTGTGCTCCCGATAACCGGTGAACCCGGCTTCACAATTCCAGCAATTTGCAATGATATGTATCGCAGCAACTCGATGCAAGCACTTCTCAGCCGCGGCCGAGGCCCTCAGCCGAGGATTACCTGTTACCCACATGAAAGTGTGCAGTAGCGCTGCTTGTTTGTCCTCAACAGCTTCATGTTCTCCCTCGCGTAATTCCAATTGCCGTCATACAGCGCGAACAGCATCCGGAGGCGACTGGGGCCCCTGCCTTCGCTTGACGTGATGCTGATCGCTTATTTTTATGCGGCAGGCTAAAGTTCCCGGTTGTCCCTGCCATCCCGGACATGACGCCTTAGCCGGGCCACCAGGCGGCCGGTAGAGGCGGCTCCTTGTGACTAGTAAGAGCAAACAGCCCGTAGATCCATGCAGCCCGGGAACTCGGCGAGAGCAGCCCGTCATGACCTCTGTCATATGCACGATTGTACGTGCATGCATTTTACCGCCCCGTCAACGCTCCCCAAGGCACGCCGACGGCACCAGACATGGGACGGACTTTGAAACTTGGTTCAGGCGCGGCCGATGTCCGAGACTGGTAACGAGTAGGGAAAAGGGCGGCCAGCATTGAGCTGAAGGGAGGGGATATCAAAGATAAGGCTAGATTTCTGGCTTGTGACTGGTTCAAGTACTCCTCGGACGAAGTCAACACTGTGTAGGTAAAGGAAAGAAGCTGCAATGTCCAGATGGTCCGGTAATAACTCCGAAGTGAGCAAAGTCCAAGCAGGACTGGTTGCTACGCGAATGACTGGGCAAGATTCGGGCAACAAAGTGTTTTGCTTCGCTATACATGTACAAGAGCACTGTTATTACAGATGAAGCATCGAATAAGGGCTTTGGATCGTGGAAGCCGGGACACGAAGCTTCAGTGTATCATGGGATAGTGTACGGCTACCAATAAACCGTGACAAGTAAGGAAGACCTCGGTAGTATAATTTCAACTGCATCACCGGCACACTATAACGTAGAAACTCCCTAGCTGCGAAGTCATTGACAGATCTGGTCGGACAGACTGTCCTCCAAACTTTCAAAGCGCAGAGCTAGCCCCTGTGGACTCAGCCTGATTCGCCTTCTTCAACCACACCTTCGCACCCATATCCGGCAGCATGAATTTTCCAAAGGCCACGTTCTTTGGCCGCGGACCAAAGTTCTCTATGGCGAAGTCAAAGTTCAGGAGAAGATGGATCATGACGAGCTTGACCTCATCCGAGACCATGAATCGTCCAGGGCAAGCATGGCGTCCTATGCCAAAGTGCATGCTTTGCTCGCTTGTTGCTGTCAGGGGGCACGAGGCCTTGAGCTTGGAGTCGTCCCGCATCCGGGCGAAGCGAAAGCCGTCGAAGCGCGTGGGATCTTCATAAAAGCGCTCGTCCTGCAGGAGAGGTGAGTTTGGTGTGAAGATGTAGGTGCCCTCCGGGACGTGCAGGCCGTTGGAAAAGGTATAAGGCTTTAGAACGAGTCGAGCAAGGGCAGCTGAGCGCCGGTCAATAGGCATTCCAACTGGAGCTTCAGGGAGGGAGTCGAGAATCCAAGATATACGTACAGGCGTCGAGAGCATTGAACCTCTGAGTTTCCTTGATGAAGCTATCCATCTTGTGCATGGAATCAATGGCCTCTTTGCTACCCTCTCCGTGCGTAGCAAAGCGCTCCTTGATTTCCTCTCGGAGTGGCGCCACGTATTCGGGACGAGCGGCGAGCTCAAAGATGGTATGGACCACCAACTAAGACTTGTGTCAGCCCTCCTTCAGACTCGATGATAAGACGAAGCATATACCTGACTCGATGTATGCAAGGCGGCGAAGACGGTATTGGTCATCATGTCGGTGATGTGCCAGTCTTCCCAAGGATCTTTTTGCTGCTCGTCGACCCAGTTGATCGAGAAGTCGAGAAGATCCTGCCGGCAGACGTTTGAGCGTGCAGAAAAAATAAGTGGCGACAATTGCAGCACTCACTCTCATGGGATTCTTAATCCGCGAGTCTCTTCTCGATTTGATCTCGTCAAGTATCACATTCTGCAAGTGCTTTACGCGTCGTGGGGCTCGTAAGAACTTGGCAAGGTAACTGGAGGTGCTCAAGTCAACCCCCCATCCATGTGCGCCAGGATTACGACTTACGGCCTTGCGAATGCGGGAATACAGCGAAGGAGGAGAGCTACCCGGGGTACCGAGTCTCCAACCTCGCAACACAAATCAAGAAAGACGGGGTCTCTGCACAGAGGCTCCCCGAAGAGGGACTTTGTGGTGAGACGGGCAATGACCTTCAACGCCATCGGGAAGCAAGGAACTGCCATCCAGTCTGCGCTTCCAGGCTTGACGGAGTCGTTCGCATGGGAGAAGAATGGCAGACCAGATGACTTGGGAAGCCCTCCAAATGCCTGTAGCTCTTGTTCGAAGCCGTGCAGAAACTCGGTGGAGAACTCTTTGAAGAAGGGATCGGTAGGGTTGCTTGCTCGAGTCCTCTGCCAACTCAACGCCTTGGCTATTACTGAGTTTGGGATCCTGCGAATGTTGTGCTGCTGCCCGGGTAGCGAATATTTGAATTGGAACTCCTATGCCCTTGTCAGCCGTACCGCTTTCGCCTCTTCGAATCGCGAGGCATTTACCTCGGACATGACGGCCTGAAATGACATATGCTCTTCGTCGAGGGAGTAGTATTCCCTCGTCATCGCCCGGTCGCAAAGAAAGACATCCATCCGCGTCATCGTGGGTATCTGGAAAGCATAGTTGCGGTGCTGTTTCCATTGCTAGTTGGTAAATAAACCTCCACAACGGGCTCAAGATGACTTGCCTTGAAATAGCCTTCATGGACAGACTCGCGGGCACCCCATACGTTGCGCACGGCGGCAACCCATTTGGTCAAGCCGACTCCGGGGCCAACAACGGGTACATTAACCTCGAAGATCTCAGTCAGCCATGATAGCTCCATCTCGGAAAAAGCAAGCCCAGCTAACCTTTTTGTCGTAGTTGAAATACCTGATCAGTAGAAGGGCGAACACGAGGAGGCCAGCGACCGCGACCTTGGGCCACACCGGCCACATGGAGGTAAGATGTTCTGTCAACATGGCTACAAGTGAATCACAATGTTTGTAGAGTCGTCAGCTGCAACGGTGACCAAAGACAATTAGACTGAGCCACAGTTCCAACGCTGTGTCATTCTGGTGACGACCACACCGGTTATCATTCCCCACCGCCCCAGACAGCGGGCTTCACGTATGACGTGAGTCCAAGGCCAGAAGGAAACAGACCGTCAACGGTGACTTGACCTCGGGACTAGTCCACTCCCATACCGAGTCCTTGCAGCCGAGGCACGGCGCTGCGTGGCAAATGAGAGCACGAGGCTTACGCATCTTGTGTCAAGCATGTAGTCAAATACTAGGACAGCATCAATTTCCGATGTGCATGCTGCTTATCGCCTATGTCCACGTACATACATGTATGTACATGACATTCTCAAGTGGAGTGATTGCGTCCTCCTAAACGATGACATCCATCCCATGTTCAGATCCGTAATACCCACCAGATCGCCAAGGCCATGGTGCCGAGTAAGGCGGACACATGAGGCTTGGGCGCAAACGCGGAGAGAATCTTGACAAAGGTCCACCAAGGGTTCTGTTGGGCTGCTCGCGCAGGGAGGTCCACAAATGCAAGCCGCTGCTTGCCTCCGAGGACTGCAGCCGAGGAGCCCGCAGGTATGTCATGCAAAGCCGGGAGCACGTATCTGCCAAGCAGTCGCTTCACTAGCCCGTCGTTTGCCTGCAGGCGGGTAAGGAACTCTGACTGCTTGCAGACGCTTTGCGTGCGGGCCAGCCGAGTCGCGCTCACGATGCTCAGCAGGTCCTCCATGGCGGCCGTGTCCGCCATGGCCTTGTGGAGGTTGCCTTTCCACAGGGCGTTGACGAGAACCGCAACGTCCTCGATGGCCATGTTGGCACCCTGGCCAATGTTGGGTGTCATCTGCGCCGTTGCCGTCTGTCAATATTTGTGGCCCGCATGAGGGCATCAGGGGTTGAGGCTTGCCTTGCGCACTGCGTCTCCTACGCAGACCATGCGGCCAGAATGCCACGTCTTAAAACAGCCTTCCTCGAGCGGGGTCATGGTGAAGACATCACACTTGTCCCAAATGGCGCCGAATTCCAACGCCGAGTCGAGTTTCTTGGACCTGAGGCCATCGCAGATCTTTCGCGCCTCCTGGGGAACAAACTTGGGCCTGTCGACGTAGGCGTATGGTTTATCCGTCTTCACAATGACAAACCAAAAGGCTTTCTGGTCCTTGCCGTTGAAGACGTGGATTGTAAGGTCTTGGTCTAGGAGGCTCAGCTGGACCCCATCCTCCACCCCGGGAACTCTAGAGGAAATGCCATAAATGCAGGCATAGTCGACCCTTAGACCTGGTGCTGTTAGCCGATGAAAACAACTCTAGGACACCGGATCGTCTTACTCGATTTTTCCGCGTCCGTAATCTTGCTGGGCTCGGCTTCTTTCGCGTGTCGCCAGATCTCGGACCTCACGACGCTGTGCACACCGTCGGCTCCAACAACCAGATGCCCCCAGTGTTCCTTGCCATCGGCGGTTATAGCAACTGCGCGGTCTCCGCGATCCTCAATACGCACGACCTTTTGTCCCATGTGCACCCGATCTTTGCCATCAAGTTTATTATACAGGATTGCAAGGAACTTCTGGCGTTCAAGAAACGACAGCGGATATCCAAAACGGGATCGAAGCACAGAGGGATATTGGCTTTCGAAGAAGAAGCCGTCTGCAAAACGAATCCTTGCAAACGTCAAGGGCTCTATGGCTTTCTCGACGGCACTGAAGAGACCGAGCTGGTCTAGGATGAGAGCTCCGTTGGGAAGGATGCCTATCGACGCTCCAACCTGGGGGCTGATTTCCTCACCCTGCTCAAGGATATCGAAAGAGATGCCCAGTTTGTCCAGGCAGTGGGCCAGCGTGAGGCCCGCTATAGATCCGCCAATGATCAACACCTTGAACGACATTTTGGCTGTAAAGTTTGGCGTGGTTCAATGCGAGGCTTGATAGGAAAGTAGCCGGCGAAATCGAATCGACTCGGCTGTTTGAGGCCTCAACGATACGAGCACTGTAGCTTCTCTCGTAATTCTCTCCAGAGGCAGGGGTCGTTGGGGCATGTGTGATGTACGGATATGTACGCGGGCTTTTAAAGAACACTGTGTGTCGCACCCGGAAAGCCTGAGCAAGGTGAGGACGCAGCAGAGTATCATCGCGCTTGCTCCTGATCCAACCGTAGCGTAATGATCCTTGATGACAGAGCTGCTTTGATTGGGCCGGTTGCTTTCTCCATTAACATTAATCTGTACTCCCTGTCTCGCTGCGCAAAGCATGTGCTGCATGTGCATGCGGCCTGCGGAGCTTGATATCTGCGGGACTACTCCGTGATACCGGGCATCTTTATGCAGCCAGCCCCGTGTTAAGCTATCTTATTAGTCGGATGAAGCCTACCTTCTTGCTCCACAAGTGGATGGTGACATTGGTGGCCGTGGTGGGACGAGCCGCACAGCCGGCCGCTGCTATACGTTTCTTGTAGCGAGCAGACGGTTTCTCAACCCGAGGTCGGATGGCGTGAAGAACATGAGGTGAATTACGTCAAATGAGAGCGATTGAGGTCTTCCGGGGGCAGCCGTCGAGGCTGACTTCTACATGTACTTGCAACTTTCTGTTGCTGACCTTGGAGTAAATCTCACTCAACAATTGATCCATCGTCGCCTCTCTACGAGGCATCAAGAGCCGCAATCATGCCGTCGAATCTCCTGCTGATCCAAGCCCCCATCGTGTGCGCCTGGTTCTTCGTACTGTTTATGATTGACCGTAGACGCAAGAAGGGCGGCATTCCAACGGTCAGGCGTTGGCCAGCATTGTTCCCAGAGTTTCTCGACCGACTAAGTTACAATGGAAACGCCGTCGAGCTGGTCAAGAAAGGATATCGCAAGGTTGGATCTCCAAAGAGAACCACCTCTCTGCACCCGGCTCTCCCAAGCTGACCGCTATTGTAGTACAAAGACCGTCCGTTCAGGCTGCTCAAGATGGATATGGACCTGGTGGTCATCCCTTTAAAGTACGCTGCAGAATTACGCGCTGTCACGAGCGACAAGCTGGACCCCCTGACAGCAAGTTTCGACGACAATGCTGGGAATCTCACGGGCATCTTGCTGGGGAGCGAACTGCATTCCGACGCCATCCACCGGCGTCTGACCCCTGGACTTCGTAAGTTCTGGACGACGGCCGAGATTGACACACGGAATTTGAAGAATCGCTTGGGTCCTGACACGCCGCTCAGCACGTATCATTCCCGTCGTCGTAGACGAGCTCAAATTTGCGTTTGACCACGTTTTACCGCAGAGCGGCGATGCAGGTGAGTCCAAGTTGATGAGAGACTAGATGCAATCGTCCGAGACTGGAGCTTCGCTAATCTCCATGATGCCAACCATGAAGGCTCATGGATCCCGATTAACCCGTACGACATGGTGCTGGATCTGTCGACTCGTGCTGCGGCTAGAGTCTTTGTTGGTGAGCCGCTCTGCCGAGACGAAATCTTCCTCCAAACATCCGCCTCTTTCAGCCGCAACACCTTCAACACAATCGCCACCTTCCGCAACCTCGGCAACATTGTTGGCTTTTTTCTCAGACCCATGGTTTCGAGCGTGACAGATGCGCGCGAACAGCTAGCCTATGTGCAGCAGCTCCTTGGCTCCGAAGTGGAGAGAAGACGAGCTTCCCCCGACGAGAAGCACGAAGACTTTCTCCAGTGGTGCATGGACCTTGCGCGAACCGAAGACGAGTCAAAGCCGGAGGCCATCGCGCATCGCACCCTCGGCATCTTGAGCATGGCGGTCGTGCACACAACGGCCATGGCTACCACTCACATGCTTTTCGACCTCATCGCCAATCCTGAACTGCTGAAGGCACTGAAGCAGGAGCAGCAAGACGTCTTGAATTCAGGCTGGGATGGAATCAGCCAGAAAGCGATGCTTGATATGAGACTTCTGGACAGTCTTATGAGAGAATCTCAGCGTTTCAACCCAGTTGGTGAATGTGAGCTACGCCATTCCTGAGTCTAAAATGCGAAGACTACTGACATGACGTATAGTCACCTTCAGGCGAATCGTGAGAAAGCCAATTACCTTGTCCGATGGCTACAAGCTGCAGCCAGGGCAACAGATTGGCGTGTCAGCGAGAAACATCAACATGGACGAGAACGTGATGGGTGTTGCCGAGGCCTTCGATCCGACTCGATGGGCGGATGAAAAGCAGGCATCCGCATCGTTTGCTCACAGCAGCTCAACCAATCTTCACTTTGGGCTCGGTCGATATGCCTGCCCAGGACGCTTCTTTGCTTCTGTGAGTTGCTACCTTGCTCCGTGTTCCACTGTCATGACAAGACTTTGCTGCATGATCTCCACATACCTTGTCTAACGTGAGACTATCATCGTAGTATATGATCAAGGCCGTGGTCAGTCGAATCCTGCTCGATTACGAGTTCAAACTTCAAGGTAGCTATGAGCATCGTCGTCCTCCAAATATTATCTCAGGCGACAAGATCCTCCCGAATCGGGACGCAGTCGTTCTCTTCCGTCGTCGTGGCATTTAGAAAGTTTGAAGGCTCCCTCAACTGCTTGAAGACCACTGTCCTGTTCCAAGGCATTCACATGAGAGAGGGTTGTCGCGTCGTAGCGGGTTGGCTACGGCAAAGACACGATGTTGCTTTGGATATGTGATATGGATGGTTGGATGGTACGGCGCGTGCTATTTGAAGGTCTTGGGTTTCTTTTGTCGGGTCTCATGCTCACCGAAGACATTGCTATTGGTTCGATCATCGCAACATACTTTAATATGTACGTACAAAGTCGACGCCAACGCAAGGCTGAAGCTATGATCGAAGTAGTAGCTTGCATTATGCTGGAAATTTATAGTATTCATATGCAGTGGCTAATGTCAGAGTACGAAGCAGGACGTGGACACCCATCTACACGTTTTGAGATACTACATGTCGGTTGTAGTTGACTTTCCCCATCGAGTTATTTCACAGTTTTAGGATAAAAGGCGTTTTGCTTCCTCTCGTGATTCGTCGAGAAGAAGTCTGGCGCTGTCAATGGTATTGCTATTCGAGATGTCCAAACACCAATCCAGTCAAGAGCGAGACGCTCTACGACCCAAGGACTGGCGCTCGTCAAACAATGGAAATGTGGCAGGGTGAATTAAGGAGCTACCGTGGTCATCCAGGCCTCCCAAGGTACCAAGAAACACGGACAATCAACCGGCAGTCAGATGCAAAAGATGCTCGCCCTCGGAAGCGAGGAGATCGCCGCGACCCGTTCCAAGTAAAGCGTACCAGTCCGGGACCGGCCCGAACCTGGCAGATCACTCGTTAATGTGACATGATAATCTGCAGTATGCACGTTTTAGCCCCATGACCCTTTCCCGAGAACCGCGCCGTGGTCGCGAGCAGGCCGCCTGCGCCAGTGGCAATGCCGCATGCGGATCTGTGCATCGTCGGGTGCATTACTTTGGGAAGTGCTCCGGACCTCGTAACGCGCTGTGTTCTAGTTACGTTTTATGTAGCTTGCCTAAAGCACAATGGTACACTCAAACTTGATTATGCCGCTTGAAGGTCTGTCAACATGGCCGGGCCGCCACCTTGAAAGATCACGTTAAGCACATGTATTAGCCGGGGTACACCGTCTTTGGTCAAAGATACTGAAGAATGGGCGTGTCCCTAACGTACCCCTTGTGTCAGTCAACGAGTCTTAGACCTCTCTAAGCGAGGTAAGAAAGCACCTGGAACGGTATCAAAGCGTATGCTCTCCATATCGCTCCGCTCTCGCTTGCATGTCATGTATATCAGAGTACGAGGGGCCTGTCATTCTGGGCTTGATGGAGGCCCTCATGGACAGGGTGAAACAAGGAACGAGATCCACAGGCAGCATCCGCGTCCGGAGCCAGATTCATGAAGGCAACACAAGCTACAGGTACGCGAAGCTCCATGACACTCGGCATGATGACATTGACCCGAGTCATGCAGCAAGAGCATCATAGGCACTTCATCGTCAGCACTCGTCTCCCATAGATTAACGAAATGCTTACGGCCTTCATCTGTGCCCGGGAGACAACCACCTCTTGCTTCGGGTACAGCCGTTCTCCGTCTTAATGCATAGATTGCCCGAACTCATTACCCACGCTCTAGCTTATTCATGTGCGATATCTTGTCGTAGGTATCTCTTCACATGGTCTGCCGCTTCATCCCAGGTATATAATCACGTGTGGCATTTCCTAAAGCGCCGGTCGGTCGTTTGCCGGCTCTCGTCGAGGATCATCCAAGCTGCAACCCGCCCCTTGGCAAGTCATCTTACTCTTGTTCACACCCTCTCTCGCACATCCCCAATCCTCAGTAGAACGTCGAGGTTCTGCATCGCACCAGACGACAATGGCTACCAAAGTAATGACAGCCACCGCCCGCAATGGCGAGTCTGTGGCTGCCGACGCCGACTACACGTACTGGGAGAAGCACTGCGCCCCTATTCTGAGTTCTCTGCTGAAGTCTACTGGGAGTTACTCGCCCGCGGAGGAAGAGGCGCAACTCCGCCTACTGTCTGACTATGTGCTGCCGCACCTTGGTCCGCGGCCCTCAAAAGCCCACACCAAGTCTCACTTGACACAGAGCGGCTCTCCTTTCCAACCATCGATCAACTTCAGCGCCGTCAAACCGCGCGCGCGCTACTGCTGGGAGCCTCTGGGACCCCATGGCGGCAGCGAAAGCGACCCGTTTGCAGTCCAGGCAGGCCAAGAGATAATATCTTCCCTCTTCAAGACTTTTGGGTTCTACTCTGGATGGAAGGATTCGTTCATGACGACCTTTGCTCCGTCGCCCGACGAAGTCCAGGCGACTCAAGCCAAGCTGTCAGGATGGATAGCGGAGCAGCTGCCGCCAGGAGCAAGTTTCCCTCCTCTGGACAGAGTTCCCTTTACTTTTGTTGCTTTTGAATTGAAGGGCGCCGGGGCCGCTGTCAAAGCGTATTTCAACCCCAAGACAAAGGAAATCGCGACCGGCATATCGCCGAACGAGATGACTTGGAATTTGCTTCGCAACTTGAAGCCCGCCCTCAATCCAGCTTCATTGGACATGGTAGCGGAGTAAGTCTGACTCTGCTTGGGCCGATTGATCTTCTATAGACATCACCGCTGACCACTATGTACGAGACAGTTTCCTCACGAATCGCCCAGTGCCCTCGGCCATCGAGCTGCTGGGCATCGATTGCGTCGACGAAGCCAACATGGCAGACGCGCGCGTCAAGCTCTACGTCCACACCAGGAACAACTCGTTCAACACGGTCCGCGACTACTTGACCTTGGGCGGCCGTCTCCAAGACAAGCGCACCTTGGACGGGCTCGACGCCTTGCGGAAAATCTGGCACCTGCTCCTCCAGGAGCCGGAAGGCATCACCGACGACGACTATGACAAGCCTCTCTACAGTGGCTCCGTCTTCTACCAGAAGGCATATTTCAGCTTTGAGCTGAGGCCGAACAGCGAGCTCCCAGAGGTGAAAACCTACTTGCCGACGTGGCACTACGTACGAAGCGACGAGGAGACGGTACAAAACTACGAGGAAATCTTTCGCCTGTGCGGGCAAGAATGGGGACAGGACGGGAGGTACAAGATGGTCTTTGAAGATGCTTTGTACGTGCTATCCCCTTGTTGTGGATCCGTTCTCGCGCCGACCCTTCCCCCTCGTTCGTCATATCATTGGGAGATTGGATAAGTCAAGACTAACGTTGTTCTTAGCGGCCCCGTGAAGCACAACCGCCCAACGCCGGTCCATTGCGATGCGTCGTTTCTATACTCCGAGGAGAAGGGCATATACCAGACACTGTACTACAGCCCGCCACTCGAAGCCGAGAATTAGGGTTAGAGAGATAGTCCAGCTACCTATCTTGTGTTCGTAGTGCGCCGCCTACAAGCATTGTGTTGATAATACGTAGTTCGAAACAATGGTTCGTCTAATAGTTGAATTATATATCAAAGCAATGCCTTTAATAGTTGATGTTAAAAACGTACACATGCTGGACGTGAATGCACTCGATTTGGCAGCATTCGCAGGATCTGACTGGCAATCGGGATTTCATCATCTATTCTAGACAGCGGCATGGAAACCTGCACATTTCCAGTTCAGACCGGGAACGACTAACACTGGCGGCTTTACTTTCGACCCCTTGTGCAGTTTATCGTGTGAACAGGCCTCACAGTTGCGAGCCAAACGTGCTGTTAGATCAGTAATGTGGTGCAATCAATGCCGGGACTCTTTCCGATGCAGAGATATTCACATGCCTCGAGATGCAGGGTATTGTCCCGAAAGCAAACAGTAGAGTGAAAACAATCGGCCAAGAGGAGAGTCTCGTCTCGGCAGGCAAACTCTCAACTCTTCAGATGTGAGTTTTCAAGGGTACACTTACCGAGCACAGCATTGCATCTGCTCAAGAAGGGATGAGATAATGTCCAAGAATCGGTAACCGATCCAATCACGCAACAGCATGCCGGCTGCCGCCGGCCCATGGTTCCTATCGCGGCAGGGGCTTTGGCGTAATAATCGTTGGTTCTTCAGTTCTGCAAGTGTGGTCGCATCCGCTCATGCAGACCCCCCTGAATGACGGCACGAGCTTGCCTACTTGGGGACCTCCCGGCTGCGCCGTCTCCGAGTTTACAAAGCCCAGAGAACCTCCTTGCCCAACCTTCAAGGGCATGGGCAGGCCCTTGTCTTTGCCGCCATCTTTCTGCTCTTCCTTGCCCAGCCGCATTTCGGTACATGTCGATCACCTCATCCAAGGCTCGGCATAAACTATACAACAAGTGCCCATACTTGCCAGAGCGTGGCCGCTTCTCAATCCTGTTCAAAATGAACACTAGCAATACGCCTGGACCAACTCCGGGCGAGACCTTGCCTGGATTCCTTCAGACTGGCGTCGCCGGGCTCCCTTGGGGCCCGGTGCTTGTTGCTCTCCTCGTTCTCACCATCTGCACTTGGCGTTTCTTCCCCTCTTCTGACCGCGTCTCAGCTCCGTTTGCCGGGTTTCGCTCATCGCTTGAGCCAGGCTTCATTACTCGGCTGCGTTTCGCAACGGGGGCGTCTGGCATCATCGGCGAGGGATACTCCAAAGTATGTGCTCCGATCCTCTTGTCAAGCTCTCTAACCGCTCATCCCGCGCAGTGGAAGGACTCGAGGTTCCGAATCTCGCGGACCGATGGCGACTTGCTTGTTGTATCGCGCAAGTATCTAGATGAACTGCACAACATGCCGCTTGACCGGTTGAGTTCGATCAAGGGGTTGGTCAAAGTCAGCCAGCTGCCCAGTCTTCTCCGCAACAATCGAGAGCTAATGGAATCTCCGACGCATGCAGAACTTTGGCGGTCACTACAGCGGGATTGGACTTCTTGCTGAGAGTGATATTGGAACCCGCGCTCTTCAGGTACAGAAAGGGGAAGAAGTCTGTCGGCGCATCGTCCAACTGCTTACTCGTCCTCGATCAAGTCGAAAATCACGCCCAACTTGGCTAAGTTATCCGACGCCATGAGAGAAGAGCTCGAATACGCGCTGCAGAAAGAGGTCCCTAGCTGCGCAGGTAACTCTTCCCCTCTATTCTTCGCAGTTGGAGATTTGCGTCGTCCGATGTTAATGCCTGGCTGCGAACTCGCGTGTAGACTGGACATCGGTCTCCATTCAGCCAATGCTGCTGAATATTGCTGTCCAAATCTCGCAGCGCGTCTTGATAGGACTGCCGCTCTGTCGTAATCGGGAATGGCTCGACGCGGCCTCGACGCATTCGCACAACGGTAAGCGCTCGCCTCTGTCTCGATACGTGTTGCCTGTGGTCTTGAAAAGGGCATTGGTTAAACTGGTTGGTAGTGACCATGACGCAAATGGCGATGCGCACCGTTCCCCCAGTCCTGCGACCGCTCCTCGACCTCGTGCTTCCGACAGCTTGGAGATACAAGGCCGCTGTGCGCCGTGGCAAGGAAATCATCATCCCGGAGATCCAACGCCGGCGACAACTCGAGGAGACTGACACCGGCTACGTGAAGCCGGTTGACCTGCTGCAAGGAATGATGGACTTGGCCGCACCAGGCGACAAAGAAAGTGAGGCCGAGAACCTGGCCCATCGACAGCTCCTCGTGACTCTGGTCGCCGGCCACAGTACCGCGGCGGCTGGCTCGCACGCCCTGCTTGATGCCGTTGCGCAGCCTCACTATTTGAACGAGTTGCGCAGCGAGGCTCTCCAGGTCTTGCAGGAGGAGGGCGGCGAGTGGAAGAGACAGTCGGTGAGCAAGTTGTGGAAGATGGACAGCTTCCTCCGAGAGTCAGTATCTCCCGACGTCGTTGGCTTTGCACGTTGATGTCAGACATTACACGTACCTGCAAGCCCGTAGCTAACTCGTGGCTCTAGATCTCAAAGACTGAGCCCGCCCAGTCTGTGTAAGTCACCGCCCAAGAGCTTCCTCTCCCAGATGCTAACAGGAACAAGTGGGCTTCCACCGCGTCGTCCAGGACCCAACGGGCATCACCCTCCACGACGGCGTCCACCTCCCCCACGGCACGCACATCTGCATGGCGCCACACTCCGTCTCGAGCGACCCAGCCATCGTCCCCAAGCCCGACGTCTTCGACGGGCTCCGCTACTACGAGCGGCGGCGGAAGAACCCCGACGAGGCGACGAGGCACCAGCACGCCACCGCCGACAAGGACCACCTGCACTTTGGGTACGGCACGTGGTCCTGCCCGGGCCGCTTCCTCGCCTCGGCCGAGCTCAAGATGATTCTCGTCGAGCTGCTGCTGCGGTACGAGTTCAAGTATCCCAAGGGCAGCAGCCGGCCCAAGAACCGGAATATCGAGGAGTTTCCATACGTGGACACGGACACGCCGTTGCTGATGAGGCGCCGCGGGCAGGTGGAGGACGAAGAAGGGCTGCTGATGGCTGCTCGGGGGAAGAAGTGAGGTCAGCTCTGGGCGTGCATTAGGCCGTAACCGTTGGGCGGCATTGCAATACTCATTCCCTGTTCCAATTCATCCAGTATTCTATGTTACTGTACTTGAATCACCAATCCGCAATCTAAGTGCATCCCGGGGCCGGGAGCCAACCCGGATCATGCTTGAGACTCGGATGTAAGTGCATCCAGCCGCAGCAATATGATGGCGACTCACCTCTTTTTTGACCCTCGACATTTCAACTTGCCGCACAGCTTCATGTATCCTGCATGCGTTTCTCGCGTCGTTCAGAAATTCTACTGCCGAGCGAGACAGACCACCGCATTGATATAAGTCAATCGAAGCCTGATTACCAGCATGAGAACATGGCAACATGAGAACTCCGCTTCCCTTGTACGCAATAAACAAACATCCATCATGAAAATGCCAGGCACTCTGCAGCATGACAATGAAGCACTTGAATTCAACCTCGAGACATCAAATCCCAACCCACTACTCCCGAATGGCGGCACCGCTGCTCCTCCCCCTGGCTTCAGCCCCAGATGCCTGCCAGCTATCAGCTCTCAGTGGAGGAACACCACCTGCAGCAGTACTTTTCACTCCGTTCTTCATACTTTCCCCTCTCACCACCCACACCAGAGTTGCGTGGCGTCAGCCGCCTTCAGCTCACGGGATTCCGTGAGAATTAATGAATGTGGGGTCGATGATTCATCCGTCAGCTCCATTGCCCCTCAAGCTTCGCAGCCGGCAACGTGTTGTTTGAGTTTCAGTCTTCACACATCCGAGTGGCCTCCGGCATCCCCGTCGGACGGAAGCATCGTCGTGACTTGCGGCCGAACCCAACGCCAACGCCGAGATCGAGCTTGAGCCTAATCTGGAGGGGCCCGGATCCAGCAGAGAATATTGGTGAGCCGCCGAGCAGCTGCTCACGCCGCCATCGCCATCGCCATGGCGTTTACGATGCATTCCCACTCGGGCCAATTCTGCCCCGGACACGCCGTTGACCAGCTCGAGGACATTGTCCGCCATGCCGTCTCCGTGGGCTTCAAGACCATGGGCCTGACCGAGCACATGCCTCGGTACGAGGAGCGCGATCTCTATCCCGAAGAGGTGCGTGGGCGTTTCCTTGACCATCGCACCCTCCCAAGCGCAGGGCTGGTCTTCAAAGATGCCCGCTTACACACGCCCCATCTTCTGTCTCTCTGTGGTTTACATGCTCTGCTGTCGTCCCTCACTCCCATCTCCCAAGTCCATCATCTGGCACAAACCCACGCACGTATATACACAGCAAGTAAGAGAGTAGGTAGTAGGTAAGAGAGTAGCTTACACCATCTTCACAACCCCCGTTCACCCCCTAGAGAGACGACCCCCAGAAGAGCCTCGACGCCCTCCCCCCCCGGCATGAAGCCTACCTCGCCGAGGCCCAGCGCCTACAGGCCAAATACGCCTCCTCGATCCACATCCTCATTGGCTTCGAGGCCGAGTTCATCCGGCCCGACTTTGCCCCCCGCGTCCGCGCCCTCGCCGCCCCGTCCTGCGTTGACTACTTCATCGGCTCCGTCCACCACGTCCACGGCCTCCCCATCGACTACGACGCGCCCACCTACGCCGCCGCCGTCGCCGCCGCCGGTGGCTCCGAGGAGCGCCTCTTCGAGAACTACTATGACCTGCAGCACGACATGTTGCTGGCACTTGAGCCCCGCGTCGTCGGCCACTTTGACCTTGTTCGCCTCTTGAGCCAGAGGCCTGGTAGAGACGTGAGGCAGTGGGAGGGCGTGTGGGCCAAGGTCAAGCGCAATCTCGAGCTTGTCGCCCGTCAAGGCGGCTGGCTCGAGTGCAACACAGCAGCGCTCAGAAAGGGCCTCGACGAGCCGTACCCGTGCCGCGCCATTGCCGACGTCAGAGGCCCCCGATGGCGCTGAGAGGCTCGTTTGTACGCTGACGCTGTCCAGGAATGGCTCAAACTGGGCGGCAGGTTCACACTGTCCGACGACAGCCACGGCATCGCCCACATCGCGACCAACTACGCCCGCGGCATCGCCTACCTCGAGAGCCTGGGCGTCGAGCACGTCTGGACCTTTCGGCGCTGCCCGCCCCCGGAAGTCGAAAGCTCGACGACAGCGGCGACCCTGGAGGAGACGGCAGTGTCCCTTGGAGAGTTCAGGAAACACTTCAACTAAGGTGATCCTGCCCGTGGCCAGCCCCCTCGCACCACGAGACGTGACAGCATGTAAGGCATGTGGAGGGCATAGCCACGGCGTCCAAATAGCAAACACATGTATATACCGTGTCGATTCAGGTCAAGGGCAAGTGGGTATCATACAGCAAATCCATCGCCTCAAAGTAAACAAACAACTTTCACCTCAGCTCTATGCCGGGGTGAAGGAGCCAATTCGTACCGCCGGAATGTGTTAGGACTCCATTTGCCTCACTCCCTGATCCTACTCCCAATATCCCATCGCGGAGCGAATAAGCTCATCTCTGAGGCGTTTCGGGCACTTCCCAAACCGAAGACAGGCCCTGATCTGCCCCCGTTCTGTCCGTCTGGGCTGTGCTCGCCGGATCATCCACTGCCGGCCGTGTCGCGTCCGACTCCAGTCGCGGCGCGAACGGGATGCCGGACGTGTAGTGGAACAAGGCGTCCTGCCTCTTGGCTGGGCTGGGCGTTGCCACCGGCGTGTTGGCAGTGGGCGTTGGCACGTTGGGGGGCATCCATTTCAACGGCTCCTGCTGAGAAACCGCCACCGGCGTCGACCCTTCGGGCTGATAGGGAATAAACATGGCACCCCCATTGCCAGATTGCTGCGTGTTCCTGCGTAGCACGTCCAGAGGGCTCTCGGGCTGGGCCGGTTCACGTTGTCGAGGATCGGGTGTGGCCATGGGTGGCGGGGAGGATTCTTCAATCGGAGACTGGAGACTGGGAGACGACATCGCCTGATGCGACAATGGCGCAGTTGCTGGTGCTGGTTCTGCCACACCGCCAGCCCCGTTCGCAATAGAGACCGATGGGATGTCGTCGTTTTCGGCCTTTGGACCGGCCAGGGGCGGCTGGCCTGTCGATGCAGCAATCGAAAGGCTGTCACTGCTAGCCGCCGACGCGGCCTTCTCGGCTTCGAGCCGCGCCTTTTCCTTGGCCTCCCGTTGGGACTGCGTGATGAGGTTGATCCTAATCTTCTTCATCCCTGTTGTGATGCCGTCCATGGCCCCGGCGAGATCATCCGACGGCGCATCGGGACCTGTCGAGGGTCTGGAAGCCTGAGCAGATGCAGCCTCTGCACCGCCATTTCTCGCTGGAGAGGAAGACTTCTTGGGGGCGCGAGAGGCCTTGGGCGCAGCTTCTTTGCGAGAGGCGGCCGTGGTTCGGGTCCTCTTCACCGTCAGCTTGCCGATGCCCTGGGACCGCGAGCTCGTTGCCGAAGCCGGACGATCGACGTTGCTGACTGTCTCCAGCTGGGGTGACTCCTGGCTGGCCGCCTTGACGGAAGTCGATGACACACTAAGACGTCGATTGACAGTCTTGGACGGAAACTCATTGGAGAGGGAGGATTGTGCGCGAGCCAAAGGCTGACGCAGGGTAAAATTAGTCTCGTCACGTCTACTTGGCCTTGGGATCCTACCTCGTCTTGGGAGGCCATGGGTACCCCAACGGTTTTCCGGCGCGACTTTGGCCGCTGCTCAACGGCCTCTTCATCGATGGGAATGATTATTTTGGGCTTTCGCCCGCGCAGAGCCATCCTCGATGTAGGTCGGCTCGATGGCTCAGGGGGCGGCGGCGGCAGGATGCCCATGAGGATCGACTGGCGATCTCGCCGAGCCCTGGTGGCTTCCGCGTTGAGGTCTTCGGGTCTGCAGCTGTCGGTCTGGCGTCCGGCTGGGATGATGAGCTTGGAAAGCTCATGAGCTGCCACCACCCATGGGACTTCGGGGGGCGGGGGCGAAGGCGGGCGCGAGACCGGCCTGGCGGTGGACAGTCCTGACAAGCTTCGTCGCATCTTATCAGGATCCACCACCTTTGCCGTTGACGCCTGCGTGGGCGACGAGTATGTCGGCGGCGTTGAGTTGCGCGGCTTGCGCGGAGGCGAAGGCGGTTCTGGAGGTCGTTCCAGCTTATCAAGTTCTGCGCTCGCCCACCACGCAGGATCGTGGCGATGGACCGTCGCTGCAAAACACTCCCTGTCAAATCCGGCGTCGGCTTCGGCCACAGCACTGTTTCCCGGGTCCGTTCCCGAGGCGGCTCTTCCAGGCGTCCGCACCGGGTCGCCGACGAGCCCGCTTAGGTGGCTAAAGATGCCCGAAAAGAGGGCTCTGTCGCTGTAGCCGCCCTCGAGGACGCTGATGATGCGCCCGTCCACGTGCAGGTCCTCTTCGGCCGCAAGTTTGACCACGTCCCGGCTGAGTCTGGCGTAGAAATCGGTGGGAACGTTGACTTGGTGGCGCTGCATCCCCACGCTCTCCCATTCGCTCGCGTCGAAGCCAGCCGAGAAGAAGATGGCGGCTTTGGGGGTCTGATTGGAGGCCCTCAGTCGGTCGGCCTGCTGCCGGAGGTATTTGCGCGTCTTTTCGAGAAGGACAGTGTACTTGGAATCGTACAGGCGCCAGAACTCGTCATCACTCTTCCACGACTCGAGGTGAACGTTCCAGACCGACTGGCCATGGGCGTTGTCGATGCAGAGGCTGGCGTTTTTGACCTTTTCGTCGTCGCCCATCTCACATGGGTACGAGTTGATGTCGTGGATGCTAAAGTAGCCTATCGACGTCTTCTTCCAGGCCGAGGCGTTCTTCGAGGCCGTCACGGCTCGGGAGTTGTGCTGCCAGGCGATTGCTTGGGAGCCGTCGCCGTGGTGGAGGTCAAAGTCGATAATGGCGGCATGCGTGAGGCCGTGGGCCAGCACCGCGTGCATGATGCCGACGTGAACGTTGTTGACCCAGCAGAAGCCAGACGGATGCGAGGCCGAGCAGTGGTGCCCGGGCGGTCTCACGCCGACAAATGCCCGCCGATGGCCCGAGGTGAAGACTGCGTCTACAGCGTCACAGACGGCGCCGAGCGCGCCCTCAATGGCCTCGAGGGTCTCAGCGCAAAGATAGAGATCGCCTTCGTGGAGCTTCTGTGCAGGCCCCGCGTCTGAGCCTCGGTTCGACTCTGGACGCTGGAGTTCCTTGCCGCCCATGGCAAGCTTGGATTCGGCTGAGTCGCACATGAGCTTGAGGTCCTCCATCCACTTGGTTCCGTGGACGTTGGTGACGGCGGGGGATGCGAGTGGCAGTTTGCGGTCTGTCTTGCAGATGCGAAAGGGTATGCTCGGCACCGAACGCACGTCCGCCTTAGGATGAATAGGCAGCATACCGTGGCTGTGACGGCCGCCAAGGCGCACGTAGGCCGTCGAGATGCCCAGAACGCTCGCTTTTATCCTTTCGGGCCGCTCGACAATTGTGCTCAGGGCGCTGCGCGAGGTTCGTGGGCGGGAGAATCGGTGGCCGTAGACGGCGTCGTTGAGGATGACGATGGTCTCGGTCGAGAGGGTGGACTCTGGGCCATGGAGGGCTTCGAGCTCGGCTATGAAATGGTTTCTCGCTATCGAATGCGCAGTGGGCCGTGGTTTCCCATCCTCTTGGGCCGTCATTACCGCCCTGGTTGTCGGAGACATGACTCGGGCGGAGCTCGAGCGGCGCGAGGCCGACAGCGTCGCCGCGGGGCCATTTGCCGTGTGCAACGAGTTCACCGACGCCTTGCGAATGAGGGTAGGCGTGCCGTTGCGAGGCGTGCCGTTGCGCGACGCGCGAGAGTCTCGCCCATTCGAAGGGCTACGCGAGGGCAGTTGAGAGCGAGCCGACGTGGTCGAGGAGCGTCGCGAGGATGACGGCTGCAGGGGAGACGAGGCAGTCTGCAGACGGGGGGATTTGTCCGGGTTGGCCGTCTGCGAGGCGAGAGACAGCTCTCTGAGCGACTGCGTCAGGCCGCCGTCGTCGTCATCGTCGTCTTTGGTGACGTTTGCAGCCGACTGGCGCCGCGTCGCTTGAGAAGGGGACAGCATTTGGAGGGCGCGCGGTGGTTCATGGGTCGAGCGCCGTTTACTCCGCGGTTTGCGACGGCAGGGGCAAGATGGAGGCCAAAGATGTGCGCGGGCGTCTGCTCATGTATCGGTGTTCTTTGTGTTCTTTGCAGAGGTCGTTGGGCATTACGATGGTGCGGCGCGCATAAACAAGTGCCGAGTTTAAGGGGTCCACGCCAGTCTAGCGCGCGTCTCCAGCTGCCGTCGCGTGGCGTTGCGCTGTCACGTGACGGCGCCCTTGTCCTCCGTCCCTCTGCGAACCGTCTCTCAAACTTCAGTCCTCAGAAATGCCTCCGCATAGACACCGCCTCGCGCTTCCTTTTCTTCTGTTCGAATCTCTTCAGTGAAGATCCAATGGCTATCGTCACCTGCGCCGGCTTGGTAGCATATACGCGGCACATCTCGTTGGCACGCAGCTTCAACTGTTCCCCAGCTTGCCCAGTCACAGGTTAATCGGTCTACGGACTACGTTGAGAGGTTTTCTTTACTGAATCCCGCTGCCCATCGTCAGGAATCATCATCGCAGTTACATGTTTGCAGACACCAAGTGTTTCCGGAATGACGCATCTCCACGACTCAAGCGAGGCAGAACCCTGAACTCGACAGCTACAGTACTGCGCCCTCTCAAATTCGACCATTTCACAATGCACGTGGCCGTCAAGACAGAGCATGATCCAATAGACCAGGCTAAATTCCACGTCGACGTACTGACGCCCCATGGCAGGGTAACGGCGTGCGAGACGTCGTCACGCGGGACCGCCAAAGTTGAGCCAAGTTTTCGGTTCCAAAGGAGACGAAGAGAAGCAGGAAGCAAAACCCAATAGATAGTAGCGTCGTCCATCATGTTGTCTGTGTTGGTGCGGCGCGCAGCAGAACATCAGTGATTGCGGAAGAAAGTAGAGACGATTCGATTGCACTTGATGGAGGACGTGAGACCCGTCTCCTCGCCGCTCTCGGCGGTGGGTGTGAGCAGGGCGAGAGTGGTGTTGGACACTGAATTTCCTTGTCTTGGTCTGCAAGCTCCTAGAGTCCTAGCAGCCTTACCGCAGTTCACAAGTCCACGGCCGACATGGGTATACCTCAACGGCGGCTCTCCACGTCATTGTTGCATCTCGGGCAGAGCGGCAGCAAGATCAAGAGCCCGGCTGTTGTCATGGCTCGTTGGGAAGCGAGGCGACCTGTCACCTAATCGAAAATGCCCCTGTTCACCTCCCCCATGGGCCCATATCATCCTGGCGTGGATGCTGCTCACCCTTGACCCCATGCGGGGACGGAGCATCGTCCAGGTGTGTTACCACATTTCAAGTCAGACCTCTCTCGCAGATGTCTATCGAATCGGCCAAGTATGGGTGTGGCATGTCAATGGAAACTACTGACATACGTTATCTTGTCAGACATGTCCCCTGTCCATGAGCCCTATCGAAATCATCAGGTCGGAATGGTGAGCTCAGAAAGGTTAAGACGGCCATCGACGTGATAATTGCAACAGACATGCTCGAAGAAAAACGGAATCACAACATGATGAGCGTCGGGGTGAGCCAGGCCACGAATGACATGCTGGGTCTGGAAAACGCAGCACAGGTTATCGTTCGTCCAAGAGCAATGGCTTAAGGAGCATTTTCCCGAGCGGCTAGAGTTCGTCATTATCAGCCTGGAGTGCCTTTTCCAAGCCTGCAAGAAAAGGAAGCACTTGTTAAGTCCAATATCAAGAAATTAAGAGCCCAGTGCCGGTGTCTCGGCCTGCACAAAAACTACTGAGAACGGCCAAGATATTCGACAAGAAGGATGAAAAGAAGCAGTAGATAAACCAAAGAAAGAAGACGACAAGTCCCAAGTCGTGGTGGTCGAGCGCCTTGGTCAACCCCCTTTCTTTCTCCTCGGCTCACAACGCCTCACTTCCTACAAAGAACTTGACCCTTCTACTTTATACCTTGGTGGTTTCTCTTGTTGCCAGCGAGCATACCGGTGTGCGAGGTGCGGTCAGTCTTGCATGTACCTTACCCTTTGACTGGACGCCGGCGCCGGGGGTCCTAACCGACGCCAAGTCACAGGTCAGTGACGATGTGTCGATTCCCATTACTGCACCAAGACAGCCATCTAGCATACGTGCATGCATCAACATGGATGTACTCCGTACGCTAGCAGCTATTCGTCCATCGGGGATGATGCAAGGTACAGGATGCCCTGAGCACGGCAGCCATTGGTTTCTGGCGGCTGACAGGCTTGACCATGTGGCTGCCTTCGATGCATCCCCGGTCAGCGAGCACACTTGCATCTCGAGCTGCGAGACCCCAGTGCAGATGCCGCTGCATCTTCCTGGCGCTGCACGACCAGTGCGTCTGTGTCATAGTCACGATCGGCACTCCGTAATTGCAGGCAGATCGATGCGTACATGCATGGCCCCATGTCCTCGAAGAGTCCCCCCCCCCCGAGCTCCGACGTGGTTATTGCTGGTTGGCGGGCCCTGCCACCGACTACGGCTACAACAAGTTGCCCTCCTCGGCAGAGCAAGCGGAGCGCAACAGCAAGGCTCTGGTCGGGAGGGGTAGGTCCTGGATGCATGTGCTTTGGGAGAGAAGAGAAGATAGCGGAGGCGGCACGGGAAGCGTGGCTGGCGCCGCCGATGATGATACCGCCGAGGCGCTTGACGTGTCAAGGGCAAGACAAGATGCGACTGGGGGGGAGCCACCACCCCTCAGAGACAATGTCCGCCGCAAAGAACCCGGACGAAGCAGCAGTCCCTATGTAGTCAGCAAGTTGAGCTGACGATGGTAGATTTTGCTTGCTTTCCCCGCTTACTCTTGTCTTGGTCGTAAATCAACCACGTCGGCGTCCGGCCCGACCAGGCACGGCTTGGGTAACGGGATACATGTACGGCCGTCTCGCGGCAAAGTAATGCCTGTCGTAAAGGCTATAATACGTTGAAGCCAGGTATTCACCCGCTTTCTCCCGCCCCTTTAGTCTCTCCCCAGCTCGAGCCTCCTTCCTTTTACCTGATTATTGACCTTGTTCTCCAGTGCCGGGGTCCAGTTGGCGAATCAAAGACGGCGGCAACTGATGCTATATGAGAGCCGGCGGTGCGAGGTAAGCGGCACGGGCAAGCAGTATGATGTTTAATCTATCCACCGAGGGTCCAGGCAAGCACTCAATGCAGGTAAATGGCACGAAGCCATGCAAGATGATGTGTCCGAGGATTTGATTCGCAGACAAGACCTTTCAACCAAACTGCGGTCTACATGCAGAATCACGGGCTATCTGGCCGCTGAAGGCTTCCGGCAGACCTACAAACACGCCGTCGAAGTTTGCCAAATGCCATCCAACCTTGGGAAACGCGGCTATCTCGCCTTGGCATTCTCTTGTCATTCCAAGCCTCCCCTTCAAGGCTGCCGGTTGATCGCGGCTTGCTTGCTCCCCTTCGGTAGCGACTGGGGCGCGGGCAGTAAGCCTGACGCTGGGTCCTCGATGGTTGGCTACCTCATGGCTGTCTCTTGAAGTCACTTGCTCTCTCATACACATCGTCGACTTCTGGCAGCCGTCCCGCTGAAAATGAGGAGTCTCGCTTTGAGGGAGACATGTCGATGCCCGGGCCCCCCACCCCAGTGATTCCAGTCAAGCGTCTTGCCACAACGCCAAGACCGCAACGCTAAGGTCAGTGTCATAGGGAGCAAGCATATCGGCCGCAAGTTGGCCCGAGAAGGGAAGGGGGACGCTTTCGATACCTGACCTTGCGAGTCTCAATGCGTGTGCGAGAACACCAGGCCTTGATAACATGAAGTCAAAGTACTTACTCGACCATGCAGAGATGATGAGCTCTACACTAAAGAGAATGATGCTGAGCATGACTTCCGGCAGAGACCCCGGCCGCCCTCTTCGATGAGCCTGCACTGCTATTAATCACGTACATTCCATATCCCTGACAGAACAAGGGATTTGGAACCGTGGGGGAGGGTAAGCCGAGATTTCATGAGATGATACGACCGATCGAAGATGAATGATACGGCGGGGAAGACAAGATCTCATCACTCCATGCTCGGAGCAACAGACACCTACCAAACAAAAGCTCTCCCGACAAGCTCTTCATTCCCCCGCCCGTGAAGCCTCTAGATTTCACGCACCGGGGAAACAGCCGGGACTGCTTTTGTAGGACGTGGCGCAGCATAGACATGGCGGCTCATGCACATGTCGTCCGGCCAGCTGTTCGAGCGTCATGCTCTCAGCCGGCAGCCTTGGCGACAAGTACAGTGTGATGATGCCCCAAACGTAAGGCGGTCCCATTGCATGAGACGCAGTCGTCCCCCTCGCTTGTGTGTCAACGTGGGCAATCGCAGGCTAAAAGCGCATCTAGGAAAGGGGATCCGGAAGATCGATCGGCTCGCCTTGCCTGCCAACCAGGATGGAACTTCTGCATAGCGTTGGGGAAGTGGGGATAGTAAAAAGAGCAGCGGGAGGAGAAGCGTCTGAGCAGGGCAACGTAGTGCAAAGACCGGAATGTCATATGCCGGCCGGCGCTCTGCTGTGCTCCGTACCGGGGATATGCCAGGGTGACGGCCGGCCGCCACCCACGGCGGAGCAGTAAAGGTAGTCGCTCCAAGGGGCTGTTTTAGCCTCGATTGTTTCAGTCTTTGCATATCTGTACCGGGCCAGTTATTGACATGAAGCTCGATATCCAACATGGGGTGCTTCAATGCTTGCATGTATGCTTTGAGGCATGCCTCAGGTGCCGGGCTTTCCTCTTCGTTTCTTTCCCTTTTAAAATCGGCTCTTCGGTCCGTCATCCTCAGTTGCGCCGGATGCTCGGATATAGAAAAAGACACGCAGACAGGGGTCGTCTGCAGCAAGGTCGTGGCCCGGTGGTGCCACTCCACAAGCCGTACTACACACAGTTGTCAAGTACGAAGTGCGTGATGCGATTTATTAGGCGCTTTGGCCTGCCCCCCTCCCCGGCAACGGGCGTAACTGGATACGTGCTGCACGTATGCAGATGCAGACAAGCCTTTTGGGCCGATGCGCAAGTTCATGGAAACGATGGACAAGGACTGGCTGAGTGCACGAGCGCCCGCTTCCAGCTACAGCATGTGCCCGAAGACAAACACTGCCACTGACGGCCGACGGGCAGCGCCTCGAGGGCCACGGGCCAATGGCCGAGAGGCGAGCGCCGGGCTGCAACGGCAGCGCATCTTGGGGCGTGGCCCGTGACGACAGCGGCGAGGAATATGAATGTGGGGAGACAGGATACGCAAAAGCAGGGAGAGCAGGCAGCTTCTCTAGGAGGCGGCGGCTGGAAGCAAAGCAGAGTCCGCTGGCGCCGGTTCAAGTCACGCGTTCTGCATCTCCATAGCTTCAATAGTAATTAGGGGGCCCAGAAAAGGGGCAAAGAGGAAGGTTGTTCATTGTCCACTGCAGCCACGGAGGAGCCGACCTTTTGTTGACTCTCCTCGCCAGTCTCCACCTTTCCGATGGAGAAAAATGCTAGTTAGTCGATGGCTAGCAAAAAGACCTTGGCTTCTCGCCCGTCTATATGCGCGCGATAGCATGGAACCTGTGTGCATACTGTACATGGGCTCAACTCACACGTCATGTGTGTACATACGCGCCGCACGTCACGCTGCTACAGTACACATCTTCGTTACCTACATGAAGTAGTCTGCAGCATCCAATCCCCATGGCACTTGATTGGCCCTGGGCGGGGGTTTGGGGATTGCCCCATCTGCTCCGACGCCGGCGCCGGGCTTCCGTCCGCCGTTCCCGGGGTCTTGGTTCTGAGTGCGAACAAGGACGAACGAGACGTTGGCCCACTTGGGGGCATTGGCGGGCTCTCGCCAGCCATGGTGAGTGAGACCGAGACGGGGCTGTTCTCATGTTGCCATGGTGTCTTGAGTGATGTGCCCTCGACTTCTCCAGCCCCTAGTGCAAGTCGTTCCTTGCCCGTAAGGACGGAGCAAGCATCTTTTCGATCCCAGGCTACATGCGAGGCCGCAATAAGGCCCCGGTGGGCCGCGAGCTGGTCATGCTGTGCTTCACTGGCCGGTCTCCACACTCTGCTACTCTCGACTGTCCCTCCCTCCTCCATCCAGCGCCTCTCCGGTCCTCACTGCTGCTCTCACGCTCCATCCGGGGGACTTTTCTTGCCCCCCTCTCTCTTCCAGGTCTGCCTCTACGAAGGTACATAGACCTTTCGGGTGCCGCAGCCGACCATGTCTCTCGGGCACAGGCTACTCGAGTCCCAGTCCTGCCCCGACAAGACTCGTCTACGGCTATACGAGGGCTAGATTGCTGGAGTAGTTCTGGTACTGTACCACATCTCATCTACAACGCCTGGTGCCCCGAGTCCCAGTCTTCTTCCGGCTCTCTCTTGGCTTTTTTTGTTTTATCTAATTTCATTTACCGATTTTCTTTCTCTCGGCAGTGGCCCCCCTCTCTGTTTGTCTGCACCTCTCTCCATCCCCACAGTGGCTGCGGGGCCCGTGGTTCGGCGCTCTCGCCCCCAACTTGTTACCAGGGCCCGGTCACGCTGCCGCCGCACATGTGAAGACAACCAAAATAGGCGCCGAGGCGGGGAGAGAAAAGGCGAGAGTGAGAGTGGAAGAGACGACTGTTGCTCTCCGTGCTGCTCCTCCGTCCAGTTTCTCCACGATTTCGCTTTTGCCTCCGAGGAGCTCAGCCGACGTCCTCATCAAGGATACACGAGTCACCTCTACTGACTGATCCGCTCACTTCACTACACACATATATATGTATTTCGAGCTGCAACACGTATCACATACCCACATACCATGGCTTCACTTACGGGGTAGTTACTCACATAGGGCGAGACAAGACCGGGGGGGGATGGCGCGGAGGAGCCTGGACGGGGGCCACAGGGCACATAAATGGGGCAGGAGACTGGGGGGCGCAAGACCAGCAGCTCGGGGAGCCGGCGGGGGTGGTTCGAGCAGCTCGCCACCATGCAGAAGTTGCCGATGGCCGATATATCTCATAGAACGTGCGTGCTGCAACGTGGGCTTGCTCCACGGCCCTCGCTACCCGCCCTGTCTGGCACTGGCCACTGATGCTGTATTTCATCATCACAATCATCTATTCCGCCTCCCGTCTTCTTGTTCTTCTGTTCTCTTAATCTTCCATGCCTTACCACTCGCTCTGGATCCCTTTTCATGGTTACTGCTCCCTTCATCCTTCTCAGCTCGACTTTGCTTTGAATGTAGTCGATCAGAGCCCGCGCCTTCCATCCCGGCTTTCCCTTGCTCTTCTTACATTATGAGCATGGCCGAGGCCTGGTTCTTTTCGGGCCCAGCCGCCTTCGCAGACCATTCCGCCATATCAATGCAAGTTCTTGCTACTCAAGACCTCCTCCCCTCCTCCCAGGGACCCTCGTCGACCTCTCCGACCCCTTCAAGCGCCTCGGGCGCCTCCTCTCCTCACAGCCCTCCGGGCGTCGGCGACTGCATTACCGCCAGCAGCGGCAACACCAGAGGCAAGGTCCGCAAGGGTCGCAAGATGCCTGGGTCTGACTTGTCCCTGCCGAGTCCGAAGGAGCTGAGTAAGGAAGATGACTGGACGCGAGTCAAGGACCCTAAGGAGAAGAAGAGAATACAGAACCGCGTTGCCCAAAGAACCTATCGTGAGTTATATTTTGCACGAGCTTAGTCCACCCGTGCTTCTTGGAACTCTCCCGTCGTCTTCTCTCAAATCACACTGCTCTTCCATTCCCTTTGGGCTTCTCTCTTGTCCCTCTAGGCGGATTCGTCTGGCCAGCACACCCACCCTCTGCCATCAGGTTACCTGTCAATACTAACGAGCGCTCTTCTCCCACGGAACAGGCAATCGGATGAAGGCAAAGCTCGGTGAACTACAGGCAAAGCTTGACAGTCACGAGCGACGGAGATTCCAGCACAATTCCCATGAAAGCAATGAGCCATGTGGGGGCGTCAAATACATGACCCATGCCGGCCCTTGCGCCGTGGCAGAATCATTGCCGTCGTCTATGGCCGGTAAGAAGCCGCTTACGCAGACACCTGTGCTTCAGCAGAGCATTTATGAGCCGCCCCCCGACGAATCGGGTTCCTCCCTCTATGGCCAGGACTTCCGCTATCTCAACAGCCCGCCCAACTCTCACACCTCTCCCCAGCCTCCCAACGGAATCCTCTCCTCGCCGCCGCGGCCCGGCGCCGACGGCTCCATTACCGTGTCTCAGGACTTCGTTCTCGACTGCCTTCGCTTCCAAACGCAGCTCCTCAACCGGCTCAACAGCATCCAGAACCCCGAGACCAAATCGGTCGCCCCCCCGCCGTACGGAGCAGATGACGGCTTGGCCCCGAGTAGGTGCCCTCTCCTTCTCCTGTGCTCACCGTCATCCCCCTCACTTACCTACTCTGCTTGCCGTGGGCCGTTCCTTGTGGCAAATAGTGAATCGCGATGACTGACAAAGGAGACTCAGCCATCGCCTCAGGCGGCCTGGGCCGCTCGCAGAATGTCGACTGCACCAGTGCCTACACACCCAGTCACACGGCTGGCCTGGACTTTGCCTTTGAGGAGCCTGTCGAGGATTGGAAAGGCGACTTGCTGGACCCCAAGATGCGAGACCACTCGCCGCCTGCCGACGGCCTCCATTACCATTCTCTGCCAGCAATGCCTCCATTCTTGGGGTCAACCGTGGACGCCCATACCAACGTGCCACACGTGGCCCGCCCCACCTTGTCCGGCAACTCTTCGCTGGACGAGCGTGTGGGGGGCTTCATGCAGCACGTCGAGGCGGCGGGCTTCAACTGCTTCGAAGACCTAGTGACGGCCTATTACAGCGACGCCTTTGTCGAGACGTCGCCCCTGGCCCATGAGCAGTACCTGAGCCGCAACCGGCGCCTACCCAAGGTCATCTCTGATCTTTTCAGGGCCACCAACGACTGGTCCACGTGGGAACGTCGCGGCTTCCACGACGAGATTCTCAAGACGGCTGAGTCCTTGCTCATCTCCGAGACCTCGAGTGCTCATGAAATCATCATGTCGCGTCTCAAGCCTTTGATAGAAGTCCAGGACGGCATTGTCTCGCCCCACGCGGCCGAGGCCCTACTCGACGTGAGGAAGTCGATCCAACAGGATGTGAGTTGCCTTCAATCCCGACCAACATTGTCTCATGAGAAGGCGAGGGGTCTCGGTGCTACGTTACGCTTAGAGAAGTTAAAAATGACTCAAAGGCTAACTTGAACCCATTCAGCTGCCAAACTCCTGGTCGTTCGCCATGGCCCTGGCTGCGGAAAACAGATCTCCGTGGCAGCAGGACCGCTCAAACACGGCCCTTGCAACCATTCTTTTATTGCAGTTTGCCGGTCGCATACCACATAGTCAGCTCCTTCAACTAATCGGCATTTGCCTGTGACTGACAAGGGCCTTCCCGGTCACGTCGGTTGTCGTCTGAGAACGAGCAGACTTACACCAGAGATAAGCCGCGGTAGCAAATACGGCGAACACGCGCTTCGGGGGTGGTGCTGAAGAGTGAGCCATTCCTATCCTGTCTACATGCAATGGAGGTCCGTCAAGGATGATTCCAACGGTGGCCCCTTCGTGAGATAACATCGATGGCTGAAACGCATCGTTTCCCCCTTCGTTGCAGGCACGATCACTCCACCGTCCACTCGACCTCCATTGGAGAAGTCATTTAGCTCAATGCAGACCCGAGTCTCGTCTATCAACTCGCCATTCTTCAGAGCTTTATTAGGCCCAGGTGTAGTCTGATGGCACGTACTGTTGGAATCGACGCTGAGTGAGGAGAAAAGAGTGTCTCATGCTTTGGAAACGGGTCGTTGCCCGCGCAATTACAGAACCCTCCGGCACGTCGGTAGGGAATTTAAGAAGATCAAGGACAGTCTAGAGAGGGGGAAGATTCGTTTGCTACTGACTGTATGTGCGGGTCACTAATAGTGGTCGGCGATCGGAGTGAAAGCATGACGGCCACGAGATATAATTAGGATGGTTTAGCGTTGTCCTTTTCTTTCTCTAGAGCTATAGTTATAGCTCTCTACCTCTTTGCTAGCCTTCTAGCTAGTATAGCCTCTACCCTCTTCCCGACCTAGGACCTAGCCTTTAAGCGCTCTTAGAACCTCTTAGGCCTTACTAAGTAAGCTCCTTAAGTACTATCTTAAGCCTTCTATAGTTTTAGGTAAGTATAGCTTTACGCTAGGTATATATTATAGTAGAGCGTATATTAAATAGGCATCTTTTTAGTCTTTAAAACTAATATATATTTTTACTACCTTTATATACTAATACCTTATATTACTTATAGAGCGCCTTTATATTATAGTACTTAATAATATATTTACTTTAATAGTACTTAAAGTATTAATATAGCTATATTATATTATTATATAATTTAGCGTTAAAGATCTTTAACTAAATTACTAAGCTTTTATTATAAAGTTAGTTTACTTTCTTTATACTTTTTATAGTTAAGATAAAAGCTATCTAAAGTATATATTTAATATAAGGTTTCTTTATATATAGCTAGATAATCAAGATATTATTAGCCCTTACTATCCTTTTTAAATTCTTTTTTTTTAGTATCTTAACTTAGACCTCTTTATTAATAATTATAAGGCTATTACTTATAAAAGCTACTTTTACTTTAAATATAGCTTAAAACTAAGCTTAGTTATATCTTTAAAGTATAGTATTCTCCTTAAATATAATAGTTATATTATTACTTAAAAGCCTTTATACTATTATTAATTTTCTTTTACTTTAAAAGTTTTATCGTATTATATATACTATTTCTTTTAATCTATATAAGAGTCTTTAACTATTATAAGTTATAAGCTTAGGCTTTAGCTTAAGCTATATAGTTATATATAAAGGGCCGGATCTTATATATATATATATATATAAGCTAGCTATATATAAAAGAGCTTTATATAGCTTATTAATATTATCCTATAAATAGTACCTATATATACGCCTCTACTTACTTTATAATAGTATAAGCTATTTATTAATTAAGATTATACTAGTAACCTATCTAGAGGTATCTAGAACTTCGGCGTTAAATAAGAGGGAAAAACTAGAGTACTTAAAAGAAAACCCTCCCCTCTTTTATAGCTAGTCAGCCCTTATACCGGGTTACGGTTATAATATATAGGAATCTTATACTAACTATCGTAGGTATCGTTTTAGTTAGTCGGAATCGCGTTAGCCTTACTATAAAGTAACCTTAGAAAGTAACTCCTTTATATATATAAGGTATATAGTATTAATCGGTAGTACGAGCGTTTTTAGTTAATAGTTAATTATATAATTATCCTTAACCTTATCTTATAATAATATCTTCTTAGGCTCTACTTTATTTTTCCGCTATAAGGCTTAGCGGGCTATTTTTATTAATACCGGCCTTTAGCCGGGCTAGTAGTTAGGTTATTATACCGGCTTTACGTTATACTTATTAAGTTACTAGTATCGGCCCTAGGTTTTTATTTTCCTAGTTAGGGGGCCTAGACTAAGGTTAAGGGGAGGTCCTAATAAATTTATTACTAGGTTTAGGTAAGCGAGGTCTAGGCCGGCCTACTTATAGTAGGGCTAGACTACTAGTATATTTATAAGCGCTTTTAAAAGCGCTAATTAGCTAATTAATAAGTAGGTTAGCGTAGTCTATTAGTTTACCTAAAAATTAATCGTGCCCTTAGCTATATTTAAATCGACTCTAGCGTTATAGCTAGTAGTCCTCCTAGGTATATAACTACTATACTACGAGGGTAGGTATAAGCTATTAACTAATAGATCTAATAGATATCTCCCTAAAAAAGGTACTGCTTTTTTAAGGGAGCACCCTACTACCTCTTAAGTAGATAGAAAGTATTATAGCTATCCTAGAAGCGATTAAAAGTATAATAGCTAGCGAGAAGAATAAGGTTCTTACTATATTAAGGGAGCTATCTATAAGACTAGTATTAACCCTTATAACCTTTATAACGCTAGTTATAGCGGCGGTACTACTAATATAAAAGCCGCTTCCTTAGCTAACTTAAGATAGTAAGCTTAAGTCCTTTTACTTCTTCCTTAGCTAGCTATAAATAAAGTTTATAATAAATAAGAAATAGGGCCTAAATAGCTATTATAATATAGTATAGTATTTACTTCTTTATATACTACTTATAAGGGCTTTTACTTTATATAGGCTTAGACTAAGGTCTAGGCTAGGTCTATATATAAACGGCCTCCGTGCTTATATAAGCTATGCCTATACTTCTCTTTCTTTTCCCTTTTATAGATTATTAACCTTCTTTTAATAGACCGTACCTAAGCCTATACCTTTACCTACTTTATAATAGTATAATCTACTCTTTATTTTACCCTCTCTATATCCCTATATATAAAACAGCTACTTTTAGCGACCTTTAAAACTAACGTTTAATTACTTAGTTTAGTTAAACTACCTACGCTGGTATATATATATATATAAATATCTCTGCTCTATAGTTATAAAATTAAAGCGAACGTAATACTTAGTTTACTTAGGTAATTAAGAGTATAAGAGCGCTACTAAGAGGTATAGGCTAATAAAGCGCTTAGGTATATAGTACTAATATATTAGTAGGGTATTAGTAGGGAATCGTGCCTACCCCGCTCGCGAGTTATAGACTACTCGCTACTCTAACTAAAGAAGAGAACTTCCTCTTCTTATAAGCTTTAGTCTTATAATAAGGAGAATATAATATATATAGCGTAGTACTTCTAGCTATCTTTACTTCCTAACTAATCGTACTATAATATATATTCCCTTATAATTTCTAAAGCTTCCTTTTTTAGTTACTTAATAGAGATAGCTACTTAAAGAAGACTATATAATACTCCTATAAGGCGATATAGTAGTTAACTAGTTAAGGCCTCTTTATTATATATATTAAGTATTTACTTAAGAGATAAAGAATAAGAAGATATATCTTTAAAATAAACCCTTACTATAGATAGTATTATAACTATATCGAAGATATTACTACTTATAAGTATAAGATAACTATCTTTTAAGGAAAAGCTTATAGCTCTATAAGCGCGTATTAAGGAGCTAAAGGAGATAAAATACCTATAAGACTATATTATATAATTAAAAGAGGAAATTACTAAACGCGCTAATACTATCGCTATCTATTTAAGAAAGCATCGATAGTCTTACTCCCTTAAATTAAATAGTAGTCGCGGTAGTAAGGTTAAAATTAAAAATTTCGCTTAATTATCTTAACCTATTAATATATAGAAATATCTAAACTAAACTTATAATCTAAAAGACGATTTTAGGATAGCGCTTAGATATTTTCGTCGCGATAAAATAAAGATCCTTTATATACTAGATTATATATATAGCAACTATAAAGCGAGATAGCGCTAATACTTTAAAAAATAAACGATAATTAACTAGACTAATTATAATATAGATTAAGTATACTTTAAAGAATAAATACTTATCTTAATTAAGGATACTATAAGTAAGGAGATACTATTAGCGATATAATTAAAGGAGGCTTACTAATAAGAAAGCTAGTCCCCCTTAGAGTTTAGCTTATACCTTAACTTCTTAAAGAGGTATTTTAAACGCCTATTAAAAAAGGCGCGTACTCTTATATTTTTCGCTAAGCTAGAGCTATAACTTTAAGACTAAATTAACCTTTATTTAATACCTATTTATACTTATTAATAGGAAGAGCTTATATAAGTCGCTTAATAATATTAAGATATTATTATTAATAAGAGGTAATATACTAATATTACTTTTACCTTTAAAGGAGCTAAGAATAAAAATAGTATTATACCTTAAGGTAGTATATATAAAGGGAGGAATTAAAGAAGCTAATAAGCTAAGCTAAATCGTTAAGGAAATACTACTAATTCGACTAATAACTAGTAAGCTAGTAATATACTTACTAAGGGCTAAACTAAGGGACGTTATTAAAGAAAAGGATCTTTTACTTAATTAGGAATTATATATTTTTAATATAATAAGCTAGGATACTTATCTATAAAGTATACTAATATTTTAAAGGTAAATACCTTAGTAAAGACTCTTAGATTTAATACTAGAAACTAAGGAAAAGGTAAGATATTAAGGTAAACGCCTCTCTTTTAGTAAACTTAATTATTATAAAGAGAGATATAAGAAGTATTTATAAAATATATAAAGGTAAAATTAAAGGTAAAGGGTTAAATAGTTTAACGGGGACGAGGGTATATACCTAAAGTACGCGTAGTATATAGCTAAGGATTAGTAGAGTAATTAACTACGTAATTATCTAATTATCGGTCCTATATATAGCTCTAAGGGCCTTAGGTTATAAATATAAGTCTTAGAGATTTCTTTACTTTATGCTTCTTTATCTCTACTAAAGTCGCGTAACT